AGATGGAGCCAGGATGGAAGACTTCTATCATTCATTTACAACTTTGGGACAACATCAGCAGAATATTCCTATAAAAGACTCAGTCTAATAATGCTCAAAGTGTGGCAGTCCTGAGGAGTCTGTCCACCTGCCATGCTCTACTCCATGGAAAGGAGAGAGATGGTATATTCGGAGAGTGTCAGATATGCTATGGGAAAGCATGATTCTGGACACTTTGCGGCTTTTTTCTCAAGGGAAGAGGAAGAAGTGTGCTTTTGGAGTCTTAGATTTTGTGCAGGGAGTCAGGTTCTGCTGTATAGAAAACAGAGATCTGGCCCTTGGCATAGTTCTTAGGGAAAGAAGTTTTGGCATTTCGGCATTTTGAAGTTTTGGTGTTAGGGAAGTTTTGGAACTATGCGTTGGCAGGCTGCAGGAGAGCAGGGTCTGGCCTAACAGATGCTTCTCCAAGGAGGGAGAAAAGGATATGGTAATACTTGAGTGCCTGAGGATGAATGTGTGTACATGCGGTGTGAATGTTGAGTGAAAATGTAATTCCCCTTTGTTTGTTAACCAATGTAATTATAAATCCAATGTAGTTGCAAAGAATCTGTATGTCTGTATGTCCAATGTCATTCTTTGTCTAAATGTTTTTCTGTAATCTGATATACCCTCTCACACTGGAAATTGCAATAAAAAGAACCTATGCTTCAAAGTTATTGAAAAGTCATTTATGACACCCCCTCCCCTTGCCATGGCTCTTCTGGCTTCTAGTTTATAGTTATGAGCTATAAAGCCCTATACAACTCAGGTTCAGGCTATTTGGCAGATTGCATTGATCAGTACAAATGTGCACTGATCCTGAGGCCCCTTCTACACTGCCCTATATCTCAGGATCTGATCCCAGATTATCTGCTTTTTACTGGATTATATGAGTCTACACTGCTAGATAATCTGCCATAAGCAGATAATCTGGGATCAGATCCTGGATATAGGGGCAGATCCGGGATATAGGGGCAGTTTTTCTGAGACCTTCAGAAAAAAAGCCCTTCTCTCAGTCCCGTTACCTGACGCTGAAACTCCCTGCCTAGGGAAGTCAGAAAGACCCACTCCCTGCTGTGCTTCTTATCTTTTTATTCAGGCAGATTTTTAAGACCAAGCCACGGAGTGCTGTGTAGTGTTTTATGTATTTTAATACATTTTTATGTGGGTTGTTGCATTATAATAATGATAAACTTTATTTGCACCCTGCCAACATCTCCCAGAGGGACTCGGGACAGCTCACAAAGCACTCAAAGGCGCAACCATACAAAAAACAGAAAGTGTAAAAACAAGAACATAGAATAATAAACAAACAACATAAACATCACAACTTCACAGTGCCCCTGGTTAAAATCAATAAAATACAGCGATGGTCTGTTTCAGTCTTGTAAAGTGCTTGATACAAAATCTATTGGTCCTCACATATATTCATTAAAGGAGTCTAAATGTGGTTGAAGGCTTCTCGAAAAAAATCATGTTTTCAATAGTGTACGGAAGACTTGGAGAGCAGCGGCTAGTCTGATCTCCCTCAGGAAGGTATTCCACCACCGAGAAGGCCCTCTCTCCCATACCCACCAACTGCACTTGAGGTGGGGGTTGGACCAAGAGTAGGGCCTCCCCGATAGATCTTAGTGCCCATGCCAGTTCATAGAAAGAGATGCACCGGGATTGTGGCGCAGCTGACTGAGTGTCAGCTGCATTAAGATCACTCTGACCAAAAGGTCATGAGTTCGAAGCCAGCCCGGGTTGGAGTGGGTTTTCAACCAATTGTGTAGCCCGTTGTCGACCTTTAGAATCATAGAATCAAAGAGTTGGAAGAGACCTCATGGGCCATCCAGTCCAACCCCCTGCCAAGAAGCAGGAATATTGCATTCAAATCACCCCTGACAGATGGCCATCCAGCCTCTGTTTAAAAGCTTCCAAAGAAGGCGCCTCCACCACACTCCGGGGCAGAGAGTTCCACTGCTGAACGGCTCTCACAGTCAGGAAGTTCTTCCTCATGTTCAGATGGAATCTCCTCTCTTGTAGTTTGAAGCCATTGTTCCGCGTCCTAGTCTCCAGGGAAGCAGAAAACAAGCTTGCTCCCTCCTCCCTGTGGCTTCCTCTCACATATTTATGCACATATTTGCAACCCGAAAGACAGTTGCATCTGTCAAGTAGGAAAATAAGGTACCACCTTAAAGTGTGGGGAAGCTAAATTAACTAATTTATGAGGCCATAAAAAAAGACTTCAGCAAAAAGCATGCGGGAATGCGGAAGCACTTCAGCAGTGTCGCAGATGGACGATGAAAGTGACAGCTCCCCTGGCGGCCAGAAAAAAGTTAAATAGCCTCTGTATATGTCTGTATATGTTGTATGTCAAAATTGGCATTGAATGTTTGCCATGTATGTGTACACTGTAATCCGCCCTGAGTCCCCTGCGGGGTGAGAAGGGCGGAATATAAAAGCTGTAAATAAATAAAATAAATAAATGTGGTCTCGAAGATAAGTTGGACCCAAAGCGTATAGGGCTTTATAGGTAATAACCTGCACTTTGAATTGGTATTTGTATTTTAGGTATTTATATGATTTAGATTTTAATTTGTTCATTGTATTGCTTCTTTTAGCATACACTTTTGAGTCTTTATAGATATAAAGTGGCATATAAGTAATAACATCATCAACAACTTTCTGTAGAACATCTACTTTGTGCTGTGATTTTTGAGGTTTGATGAAACATGTTTCGGTGCTAGACAAGACACATCAATTTGGATTCCCCCCAATAAACCCACAAGCATGTCTAAGTTAAAAGCTTCCACATTACATAAAATATGGTGTTGGAGATCTAGCTAAGATTTTATTTGTCATCATTTACTTCCTGAAGCAGAACGGACATTTAGGGCAGAATGCATTCTGTCTGCTGCTCCCTGAAACCCCTCCAGATATTCTCCAGAGGCTTTGGAGAACCCATTGAGAGGCATGAGAGGGTGGGAAGATGTCCCACTGTGTGAACACAAAGTCATTCACACAACAGTAGATATAGGTAAGTTATACAGATATCCATCCCACTATTACAGGCACAGGCCAACCTTTCCCCCTCCAGGAGTTTTGGACTTCAACTCCCATAATTCCTGGGAGCTGGGGGTGGTAACGGCCGACAGGGAGCTCTGGCGTGGGCTGGTCCATGAGGTCACGAAGAGTCGGAGACGACTGAACGAATGAACAACAACAACAGTAGGCTGGCTGTTAGGAATTGTTTTCCTGGAGTTGAGCTCTAAAATACTTGGAGGCCCTTAGTTTGCCCATGCCTGCACTACTTAGGACAGCTTTTATGAGGAATGTGTCTATGCATTTTGTGAACCTTTCTCCTGACATTTGTATTTTTAATTGTATTTGTATTACAGTTTATAACTCTACATTTAAATGCACATTTCCAAATGTATACAGTGCTTTAAAATAATGCATTTTATGTCTATTGACCTTTATGTATTTGCAGATTGCAACTTTCAGAAGATTAGGAATATTACCATGTAATTGTGTTTCAATCTGTGTGCAAGTGGGACGGTATGAGTTGACTAAATTTGCATTTTCTGTATTTTATTTTGATGTTATTTGCTTGTTTGTATTTTACTTTGTTATGTTGTAATTTTGGGCTTGGCCCTTTGGGGAGATGGTGGAGGAGTATAAATAAGGATGATAATGATAATGATTATTATTATTATTATTAAGATATTTTTTGTGTGTGTCAGGAGTGATTCCTGGTGTGAGAGAATTGGCTGTCTGCAAGGACGTTGCCCAGGGGACGCCTGGATGATTTGATGTTTTTATCATCCTTCTCTCATGTCCCAGCTTGAGGAGCTGGAGCTGATAGAGGGAGCTCATCCGCCTCTCACCGGATTTGAACCTGCGACCTGTCGGTCTTCAGTCCTGCCGGCACAGGGGTTTAACCCACTGCGCCACTGGGGGCTCCATGATTAAAAAACCTCTACATAACTCCTGTCAAGTTCAGCACTTTTAAATTTTATCCATTACATTTGGCTTGGCCTTTAGGTTTTTAAATACGTCATGGTGTCATTGTTTTTAATGTTTTATTGTTTTGCTTGATGTTTTATTATTTGCTTATGAGTTTCACTGTTATATTGTATGTTGTTGTCTGTTTGTGGCCTTGGCCATTGTAAGCCGCATTGAGTCCTTCGGGAGATTTTGCGGGGTATAATAAAGTTAATAATAATAATAATAATAATAATAATAATAATTATTATTATTATTATTATTATTAAGATGAAAAAGCAATAATCATCTCATCCACCACTCATTTTGTAAGCTTAGCCAGATGGTAAAACTCATATTTTTGTTTTGTGGTTTTTGAGGCTTTGATGTAATGTTATTCAGGAAGATGAGCCTAAACTAGTAGATCAGAAATGATTATACATTCTTTCACTCTGCCTTTTTCCAACCAACCCCCCCCCCCCCCCCCCCCCCCCGCCGCCTTTCTCTGTTTTAAGTATTCTCGAAGGCTTTCATGGCCGGAATCACTGGGTTGTTGTAGTTTTTTTCTGGCTATATGGCCATGTTCTAGAGGCATTCTCTCTTGACATTTCGCCTGCGTCTATGGCAAGCATCCTCAGAGGTAGTGAGATCTGTTGGAACTAGGAAAAAGGGTTTATATATCTGTGGAATGACCAGGGTGGGACAAAGGACTCTTGTCTGCTGGAGGTAGGTGTGAATGTTTCAACTGACCACCTTGATTAGCATTTGATTGCCTGGCAGTGCCTGGAGCAATCTTTTGTTGAGAGGTGATTAGATGATTGTTAGATATTTGATGTTTGAGAGGTGATTTCTCTGTTTTTCCTGTCTCCTTTTTCTTATGCACTCCTTGGGACACAATCCTGTTCTCTCTGCAAAACACTATAGATCCTGATGACACCAGTTTGATAGATCAAAAAATACCAGACACAGTACTAACAAGGAACACAACAATAGCTAAGAAACCAGGCCTTTATTTTATACATAATCATTTTGACGTGGTGGAAAGAAGAGCAAAAATAAAAAAGATAGATAAAATTAAAACCTCAGGAGGGAATGTGACTTCTGAACATTACCTCAAAAGTCAGCCTTCTATGAATAACAGACAACAAGCAACTCTAGTTAGACCTGGCAGCCAAAAAATGCCAACGTATTGGAAAACCGATCAAGGTCATTGCAGAGGTCCTGCATTTCTTCGTCTTGGCATTCATCCTCACTTGGCCACCTCTCGATCCAGGTATCTTTGCTTATGAGGTAGAAGACACTGGAAAAGACCACACAGATAAACTGGTTAACAGATCTCTGGAAGAACCTACTAAGGTTGGACTGAAATGAGTAAGAACCATTCCTCGGCCATTTTGCACTCCTTCAAATGGCCGAATTTATTTTGACTGTATTTTGGGGTGCCTTAGTTGTCTTATAGGAGGGTATTGTTTTATTGGTTGAACCAGATAGACCCCGGTAAACTGTTCAGAGTCAGGGAGTGAAGCTCAATTCCACCCTCACCCACTTTTACATGAAGCGATCTGACCCTGATTCTTCAATGTGTCCATTGGCACTTCTTCTATCCCATCGGACAGGGAGGGGTATACGATGGAAATCTTTCACCTGGTCATTGGAAGGGTGAGGTGGGGGTATACTCTAGGCTTGGTCGATTTTGTTCGGAAGCTTCTAAAATCAGAATAAATTCATATTAAATTGACTATTGAAACAATTTCGAGCCATGCTGGAATAGTGTGAGGAGTAATTACGAACTGAAACAATTTACCAATTTTTCAGAATTATTTTCGGATGTCTGGTGCAAGTTTTACAATCTCGCAGTTTCCCTGGCATCCCTGGATACAAGCGGCGATGCGGAAGCATGAGGTGGGCGTGGCTATGCCCAGCTCTTCCTGAAGGCCACGCCCCCAGTGGCCGTCAAGAAGAGCTGGGCGTAGCCATGCCCACCTCATTCCCCTGCCATCCATCGCCGTTTGCAGTCAACCAGGGAAGGGAAACTGCGAGATTTTAAAACTAATCTTCCATACTTCAGGGGGCTTACCCACGACCACCTCGCCCTTCCGCATTGCCGCTTGTCGCCAGGGAGGCCAGGGAAACTGCGAGATTTTAAACTAACAGGGGGGAGGGGCACCTTCCATTAACGCAGTAAACAAAGCTATTCAGATTTTTGCTATTTCTGATCTTTTTTTTCACGAAAAGTTCAGAAATAACTTTAAAATCAAAACGCCATCGTCCTGGAAGTCCCGTCATCCACTGATTTATCTTTTTTGCCTTCAAAATCTTCTCCTGTTAGGAGGTTAAGTCCAGGAGAATATTTTGAAGGCAAAAAAGATAAATCAGTGGATGACGGGACTTCCAGGACAATATATACTTTGTGAGAAAGTTGGGACCTCTGCTTTTTAGCCTAGTTAAAATCAAGCCTAAGACTACTTTATAATCCCATTTATGGGTGCATCTACACTGTAGAAGCAATGCAGTTTGACTCCATTTTAAATGCCATAGCTCAATGCTTTGGAATTATGGGAGCTGTAGTTTTACAAGTCCTTCTCTGCCTAAGAATGTCAATATCTCGCAAAACTGTACTTCCCATTATTCCATATAATTGAGCCATGCCATTTAAAGTGCTCTCCGATTACACTGTAGATCCGAGCTTTCCAAACATTTCATGTTGCTATGCATCTATAAGTTCTCAGAAAACCACAAAGGGACCTCAGTAGAAAAATTGCATCTTTTCTTGTTTGATAATACTGGTTTTCAAACTTCCAGTTTTCGATACACTCTAAGGTGCTTTGAGGCACCATTGATGGAAAGGCAGTAATAATCTATATAAATAAAAATGTAATGTTCGTTTTGGGATTAACAGAACTCAAAAACCACTGGGGGAATTGACACCAAATTTGGACACAAGACACCTAACAACCCAATGTATATCCTTTACTCAAAAAATTGATTTTGTCATTTGGGAGTTGTAGTTGCTGGGATTTATAGTTCACCTAGAATCAAAGAGCATTCTGAACCCCACCAACGATGGAATTGAATCCAACTTGGGAGACAGTTCTCCCATGAGCAACAGAAAATACTGGAAGGGTTTGGTGGGCAGTGTCCTTTGGTTTTGAAGTTGTAGTTCACCTACATCCAGAGAGCACTGTGGACTCAAATGACGGATCTGGACCAAACTACACGAATACTCAATATGCCCAAATGTGAACACTGGTGGAGTCTGGGGAAAATACAATCTTGACATATGTTGTAGTTGCTGGGATTTATAGTTAACTTACAATCACAGAGCATTCTGAACCCCACCAACAATAGAATTGGGTGAAACCTCCCACACAGAACCCCTATGACCACCAGAGTGGGTCACAGCAAGGCGTGGCAGGGGACGGCTGGTGAATAATAAAATAAATGGATTGCTATGATTTTTTTAGGCTGTATGGCCATGTTCCAGTAATATTCTCTCCTGACTTTTGCCTGCATCTATGGCAGGCATCCGCAGAGGTTTGTTCAGAGGTTTGTTGGAAATTAAGCAAGCAGAGTATATATATTTATGGACTATCCAGGGAGAAAGAAAATAAACAAACTAAAGCAAAAATATATTAAATGAAATGAAATGCATACTCATTATTTGCAGGCCACAGGTCATTGCTGACGCCCCAGATCAGATAGTCCTTATTCTCCTGCAGATTCAGAGTTTCCCTGCACTTCATCTGGCTGATAAACTTGCGAGGATTGTCTACTGGATTTGGATCACTCCCTGGAGAAATCAGACAAAACAAAGAAAATATTTGGATAAGAACTGTGAGCCAATTAAGTGTTTTGATTGACTAATATTTTTCAAAGGAAATATGAACAGTGTATTTATGAAATACATTGATTTCTTTAATTTCTCCACACATATTAACACTTGGTCATACAAATCCATTCCACGCTAATTTTAAAACTGCACACTTATTAATGGCTGCTGCAGCAATGCTTTGTATTCTTCACAAACACTGCGGTGTCCCATTTTCAACCATTTAAAAATCTGAAAATATACAGTAACATAGAATCATAGAATCATAGAATCAAAGAGTTGGAAGAGACCTCATGGGCCATCCAGTCCAACCCCCTGCCAAGAAGCAGGAATATTGCATTCAAATCACCCCTGACAGATGGCCATCCTGCCTCTGTTTAAAAGCTTCCAAAGAAGGAACCTCCACCACACTCCAGGGCAGAGAGTTCCACTGCTGAACGGCTCTCACAGTCAGGAAGTTCTTCCTCATGTTCAGATGGAATCTCCTCTCTTGTAGTTTGAAGCCATTGTTCCGCGTCCTAGTCTCCAGGAAGCAGAAAACAAGCTTGCTCCCTTCCTCCCTGTGGCTTCCTCTCACATATTTATACATGGCTATCATATCCCCTCTCAGCCTTCTCTTCTTCAGGCTAAACATGCCCAGCTCCTTAAGCCGCTCCTCATAGGGCTTGTTCTCCAGACCTTTTATCACTTTAGTCGCTCTCCTCTGGACACATTCCAGCTTGTCAATATCTCTCTTGAATTGTGGTGCCCAGAATTGGACACAATATTCCAGGTGTGGTCTAACCATTATAACACTATAAAAGATGATCAGCATTTCCCAGGCTTCAGGTGGTGTGGCACTGAGAGAAATGAAAACATTAATAAGGTCTCATGCGACCAGATGGAGGCGGTGCTCTATTTGGAGGAGTAATCGCTATTTCGAGGTAATCCCCTATATGGAACTTCTGAGACTGAAGCGTCATGGAGTCTTCTGTGCCCTTTCTTCCCGACATTGTGCTACCAATTTCCTTCACCCTGTAACCAAGCCTTTTAATAAACTATAGCAAAGTTGAAATGTGTGCCTTTCTTTCTTGCTTCTGGATAGACTTCTTTCACTAAACTGGTGAGTTCCTTTTGAGTTGCATCCATCCAAGTGTAGATCTGCAGTTCACTGGAGGGTACGTTTCCACAGGCAAACTCATCCATTCGGTGATGGCGTCCATTGGTGGTGGTGAAAACCCTCAGCTAGAGGGGACAGGTCTTCTCGCGGTCGATGGGCTTTTCGGGCTCTTTCTTGATCTCCTCCTGAGTAACGTGAGACTCCACCGCCATCTTGCCACCACCGCCGCTTCCTACTCCTAGGCCCAAGCCTTTTCTGCGAGGGAGAGAAAGCCAAGGAAGCAAGGCCAAGAGCCCGAACCCCTCAGAAAAGGAGTGGGGAGAGCACAGCCATTCCGAGCCTCCTTCCCAGCCTCGAGGGGCCCACGGTTTCCTTACAAACACTCAGAAAACCGCCACAAACCTCCTCTGGTGGCTTTACCATGTAGCTAGTGAGAAGGCAATTTATATCTTGGGCCCCACACTGACCCACTTTAGACTCAAGACAGATATTTTTGGAACAGAAGGGAGCAAGAAGTAAAAAAAAAATGACATGGTAAAATGCTCCCTTTTGTCTCCCATGGGGTATTTGGTAAAGACAAACCCCCTCTGAACAATCTTGCCAAGAAACTCCCGTAGTGTCATCATAGAGTAACCATACCTTGAAGATATATAATAGTAATGTCATGGAAAGGAAAACATCATTGACTTCAAAACTTCTGAGAACCTGAACCACAGAAACAGCAAAAACATTTCCTGCATTTGTTTTTTCTCTCGGTTAAGAAAACTTTACTTCTAAGCTTGTAAGACCTGAGCTAGATAGCTGTTGATCGGGGCTCTTGGGAGGTCTCTCATTGATAAGAGTTGCCAGAAGTCAAAGCTGACTTGATAGCAAAGAACAACATCAAATATAAGGTTGCAAAGCAATTGCTGTTCACAGAAAACATCATTGCTTTATATACAGTATGCCATTTATTACAAGATATCCTCTTTACCTTCTTTAATTGTTTCCAGAACTTGCATGAAGTAGTTGTCATAACCATTTTCCTCTTCTATTCGAACCAATTTGGCTTTGTATACTTAAAACAAAGAAAATTTAAAATATTAAGATGATTTTTTTCACAGAGGCCTCAACCTTTTTTTAGCAATCGGTGGGAAATAATTGATAGCCAGATTTAACTATCACGTACAAGATTTGCTTTGTTCACAAGAGGCCCCAAACATACCAAGAAGCAACCATTAACAAGGTAACCAGCAGCTGCCCCAAATGTTGGACCTGAGCTATTGTGTGCTGACTATTTTGGGTTTGGGACCCGCCTACCTACGTGACCGCATTTCTGTGTACGAACCCACATGATCCCTTTGATCATCTGGAGAGGCCCTGCTCGCGCTTCCACCTGCATCACAGGCGCGATTGGTGGGGACGAGAGAGAGGGCCTTTTCGGTGGTGGCTCCTCAACTCTGGAACTCACTCCCTAAGGACATCAGGCATGCCCCAACTCTGGCAGTCTTTAGGAGGAGCTTGAAAACTTGGTTGTTCTAGTGTGCCTTCCCAGAATAATGAATCCTTAGCACTTTGTCCTCTAAAGCACTTAATACTGATTTAGGCCTGCTTGTATTTCTTCACTAACGCCCCACTTTCTTATTTTGTCCATGTCCAGCATTATTTTTTAAATTTCTATGACATTTGGCCTAGCCACAGATTTTAAAGGTGTGTTGTGCTATTGTTAATGTTTATGCTATTGTGTATGTGATTTATTTTAATTGCTTGTATTGTTGTTGTTATTGCTTGTATTGATGTATTGTGGGCTCGGCCTCATGTAAGCAGCACCGAGTCCCTTGGGGAGATGGTAGCGGGGTATAAATAAAGTGTAATAACAATAATAATAATAATAATTGCATTCTAGTTAGGCTACTGCCTCATTCAGAGATGTAAGACAAGGTCTTTTTGGTGGCTGCTTCAAAGCTATGGAGCTCCCTCCCAAGACAGACCAGGATGGTCCCATTTCTGCTGGCCTTCTGCAAGCAGGTCAAGAGTTTTCTCTCCCAGCAGGCATTTGGAGAAGGATAATGGGCACGTTGCTGGGGAGGCTGTGAGCAGGCATGTAGCCGGGCGGGGGGCGGGGGGGTTGGGGGGCTTCAGCCCCCCCCTGAAATTCTCATGGTGGTCCGCGAGAAGGCCTTACTGGTACATTATTTAAACTGTTATGTTTATTCATATCATGATCTGATCACCATACTCAATATATCCCATATGCATGGGGGTATTGGGATAACCAATCAAAAGGTTTGCTAGGGTAGACCCTCTTTCACTCGGACTAAGCCCCCCCCCCCCCCCCCGAAACAAAATCCTGGCTACGGGCCTGGTTGTGAGTAGGATTTTTTTAGGGGGAGGGGAGGGATGTGTGTTTAGAATGCATTTTAATTGTATTTCTTATGTTTTAACTGTATTTTTAACCGCACACACATTATTTAATGTTTTCTTTTTAATTTTTGTATTCTCTTTGTTTTAAATTGATCTAAGTGTGTGTTAGTTAGCTGCCTTAAGTCCCCTCAGGGAGAAAGGTAAGATTATTTATATCTTATCTTTCTCCCTGAGGTGTCTTAAGGCAGCTAACTTTCAAGATAATAATAATAATAATAATAATAATCATCATCATCATCATCATCATCATTATTGGGTGTGTCAGGAGCAACTTGAGAAACTGCAAGTCGCTTCTGATGTGAGAGAATTGGATGTCTGTAAGGATATTGCCCAGGGGACGGATGTTTTGATGTTTTAATAATAATAATAATAATAATAATAATAATAATAATAATAATAATAACTTTATTTGTACCCCGCTACCATCTCCCCAAGGGACTCGGTGCGGCTTACATGAGGCCAAGCCCACAGTACATCAATAAACAAAAGCAATAACAAAAAAAAATCAATACAAAACAATTAATATAAATCAATAAGCAAAAATAAACAATAACAATAACAGTAACACACAAGCATTTAAAAAACCTATGGCCGGGCCAAATGTAATAATTTAAAAATTAAAAAATAATGCTGAGCATGAACAGGTAGAATATAACTGGGATAGGGTTTTTCAAAGAGAAATGAGGGAACGCAGTCAGTCCTAAATCAATGGTAAAGTGCATTTTGAGGGCATATTGCTGAGAGTTTTCCTTATTCTGGGAAGGCAAACTGGAACAACCATGTTTTCAGGCTCCTCCTAAAGACTGCCAGAATTGGGGCATGTCTGATATCCTTGGGAAGTGGGTTCCAGAGTTGGGAAGCCACCACCGAGAAGGCCCTTGTTTTATAATCCTTGTGGGAGGCTTCTCTCGTGTCCCTACGTGAGGAGCTGGAGCTGATAAAGGGAGCTCATCCGCGCTCTCCCTGGATTCGAACCTGCGACCTGTTGGTCTTCAATCCTGCCGGCACAGGGGTTTAACCCACTGCACCACCAGGGGCTCCAATAATAATAATAATAATAATAATAATAATAATAATAATAATAATAAATGCACTCACCGTAATCTACTCCTGGTTTGCAGGCCTGTTGAACTCGTAGATTCAGATCAATATCTTCCTTTACATTGTTGAGCAAGGAGCAGCTTTCTTTGGGGGAAGAGCACAAAGGAAGGAAGACAACAGAAAGTACAACACATGATCTCTGTTTTTGGTTGCTCCAGAGAGTAGGACTAGGTGTAATGTTTTTGTTACATGAGAGTTAATTTCAATTGAACATTAAAGAATTTTCTTGAAAATAAGAGCAGTTTAGTAGTTTTCCTTAAATGGTGTGGGATCTCCTTCTCTAGAAGTCTTCAAGAAGAGGACAGATAGCCACCTGTTGAGGATGCTATTTCTGAAGATCCTGCACTGAGCAGTCGTTGAACTAGATGGCCCATGAAGATCCTTCCAGAAATTTGGTGCTATGGTACTATTCCCAAAGTGCCTGTGAGTGAGTCATATGGGGAAAACTGAATCCTTAGCTGGTACAGATCACAGTAACCATATCCTGTCGGCTAATGGGAACTGTGCTGGTACAGCTGTACCAGAAGCTCCCACTTTATTTGCTTTGCATTGAATGTTGGTTGCAGTCCTGTTTATGGTGAAAATCCTTACGAATTTCTCTTCGGACCCCCTGGCTTCCCGCTGGGCTAAAGTTATACGTCCTGTTTTAAAAGCAAATCATTTCAAGCCCAGCGCGCGACAGAACAGGAACTAATGGGACTGAGTGGCACTTTAACTGAAGCAAAGGCAGCACCGGTAGCATGTGGGCAGAGCAGCCTAGCAAATCAGGAAAGCTGAAGTTCCTTCTTTGCTTTCTTCCCTCGCAGCCTCCTCCATCCCCAAAGGCCCTCCCCCCCACTCCAGCTTGAGGCAAATGGGAACCCGCTTTCCCAGCAGCACTTTGTGCGGTGCAAGCATTGTGAGCTTTTAAAACCCCTATTTTTTAAAAAAGTTATGGTAAAAACCTTTTAAAATTCCAAAAATTTAGTGGATTGGTGAAATGTTCTGAAACTTGGTAGGCTTGAGGAGTAAATATGGCCTACAGGTGAGGCGAGTTTCATGCTGATAGACCTAAAAATAATGGAGAACTGGCCCTCTAAAGTTTCCCCATTGGAGCCAATGGACTGAATATTTCCAGCATGAAAACCGAAACCTCTCTCAAATTTGGGAAATTCCCTAAAGCAGAATAGGGGGCATCCAAAAACTGGACACCGAAAATGGCACAGTTTTTGCCAAATTGCATACCCCTACTCTTAACCCTTTATCCTTCTTTCTATTTCTCTCTCCCCCATCTGAGCTTATCCCACTACTGGAGTACCAACAAAATATTAATTCGGTTTAGGTTATTTTGCTGGGGGTTTTTTTTGTCATTACTTACACATAACTCAAAGAATGGCCTTCCCTAGTATCAGTCCTTCAACACATTTTCAACTCAGCATAGTCAAATGTGCAGGGTGAGTGAAATGTAGTTCAAAACATCTGGAAAGGGTCAGTACTGCTATTGATATATCTAGAATCACAATCTCTATATCAGAAAACACAATATTCCAATTTTCTTATATTCACTCTGGAAAAAAATCTTGCTTCCAGGTGAGTAAAAGTACCATCTTTCGACCTCTTCTTACCTTCTGCGCATCGGCAAACATCACCATGGCATATCTTACTGAAGAGGCCACTTTCTTTGGGAAGATGGTAGAACTTGATGCACTGCTCGTCTGAAAAAGAGGAATGAAAAAAATGGAGTACACTTTGGGAAAGGAGCAACTTAGGGAATACATAGAACATGGCTGAGACAACTTATTGCTCCCCATAGAAATGTTAATAACACATCACTCTGACTTTATGTATCGGGAATCTAAATTTTCTATTGTGCATTTTTGCATGGTAGCAGGTTGGACTAGATTGCCCTTGTGGTCTCTTTCAACTCTATTATTTGTGTTTGCAAAAACCCTTTGCTAAAAAAAAGGAAGTCTTGATTTTATGACTTTCCCTCAGATAGGGATTTGCATCTTCTTTTTATGGAAGATGTTTGAAGATGTATTGTTGAAGGCTTTTGTGGCTGGAATCACTGGGTTGTTGTAGGTTTTTTCGGGCTATATGGCCATGTTCTAGAGGCATTCTCTCCTGAGGATGCTTGCCATAGATGCAGGCGAAATGTCAGGAGAGAATGCCTCTAGAAGATGGCCAGGTAGCCCGAAAAAACCTACAACAACCTGATGTTTGAGGAGTTAAGCAGGGTCCTTAACCAGAGTGGGTCATAGATAAAGGTAAAGGGTAAAGGTTTTCCCCTGACATGAAGTCCAGTCGTGTCAGACTCTGGGGTGTGGTGCTCATCTCCATTTCTAAGCAGAAGAGCGGGCGTTGTCCGTAGACACCTCCAAGGTCATGTGACCTGTTGATCTACTCACATTTGCATGTTTTCGAACTGCTAGGTCGGCAGAAGCTGGGGCTGACAGCGGAAGCTCACGCCGCTCCCCAGATTCGAACCTGTGACTTTTCGGTCAAGCTCAGCAGCTCAGCGCTTAACCCACTGTGCTACCGGGGGCTCCTGAGTGGATCATGGTGCTCTTTTAAGAATCACTTTAATTTCTGAATTCATAGATCAAGGATTTTTTTTTTGTCATGTCAGGAGCGACTTGAGAAACTGCAAGTTGCTTCTGGTGTGAGAGAATTGGCCGTCTGCAAGGACGTTGCCCAGGGGACACCTGGATGATTTGATGTTTTTATCATCCTTGTGGGAGGCTTCTCTCATGTCCCCGCATGAGGAGCTGGAGCTGATAGAGGGTGCTCATCTGCCTCTCCCCGGGATCAAGGGTGAGGGTGGGAGAAGAGACTGCCAGAAACATCTCAAGCGGCTTAAGTGTCTAGCTGGCCTTCCTTGTGCTGAATCCACTGGAAGAAGTGTGATAGCCATTACCTAGATTATAATAGTTGTACACCTTCACGGATGCTGGTTGAATGAGACCAACTTCGAAAAACTGGTGAGCTTTGAACTGAACACATTCATCATTTAAATGAGAGACCTGTGATGGGGAGAGAAAAGGTAAAATAATTTTTTGGGTACCATCCTGCCAACTGAAGCTTTTTCCCTACAGATTTCTATAATTTTGTTTGAGGGGAGGATTTGACTGGGAGTGCTTCCATAATGTCATTGTTTTCAATGGGATCAAAAGTTCATCAGCCTCAAAGACATAAGAAGAATGAGTCGTGCACTTCTGAGAAACGCGAATAGATCCAAATGATCTGTACATTCAGCCTCGCCAATAGGAACCTATCAATCACAGGGAGAAGTGCAGGGCCTGGCACTTTGGGCATATCTTGTGTTCCACCCAATGTTTATAGAGAAATATCAGAAAGTTTCCTCAATGTTAAGCAGGCCACACTATGAAAACAGAGGAACAAATATCAATCTAAGAGAAAATGGGATTATATATATATATATATATATATATATATATATATATATATAGACTAGCTGTACCCGCCAGGCATTGCTGTGGCCAACCTTCCCTCCCTCTTTCTCTCCTTCCTTTCCTCTTTTTCTTTCCTTTCCTATTTATCTTCTTCTTTCTTCCATCTCTACCTGTTTCTTTCCTCCCTAATCTCTCTAGGGAGGGCATTCCATAGCCGGGGGGCCACCGCTGAGAAGGCCCTGTCTCTCATCCCCGCCAAACGTACCTGAGACGAAAGTGGGACCGAGAGCAGTGCCTCCCTGGACGATCTCAAGGTCCTTGATGGTTCATAAGGGGAGATACGTTCAGACAGGTAAGTTGGGCCAGAACTGTTTAGGCTTTATAGGCCCTAAACTCTAATCTCCCTCCATCCTCTCCATTCAAATTCATTCCATTGCCTTAATTTACAATCTTTACTGTAACACACCAGATCCTGTATAGCTGTTTTTATAATTTATCTACTCCAGCTTTACCTTGTCCAAGTAAATGACAAAATTTCCTCTTTCAGAGTATCCTTTGTTAATTTCATATTTGGCAATAAACCTGTCGACTCCTTCAGAAAGCTAAACATTGGAAAAAAGTACAAAAGACATTGTTGATACATAGTATACTCCATCTCACAAGAACAGAATTGGATTTTCATTTCATACACAGCAAAAATTCAAATTATTTCTCTTGTTTTACCAGGTTTGGAACAGAACCTCGATGGCTGAAGATAGTGCAAAGACAACATGGGGACCGGGAAAATGGGTAAAGTGCAATTACCAAGTCCCAACGATGGCCATAGTGGGGCCTGGGACTACTCATTTCAAGGGCCTATTAGAGAACTATAAAAGATCTGGTCCGGGGTAATGGGCCATAACTAATGGCCAAGGCCTAGGACTTGTAACTAATCATTGTGAAAGGCCTCATGAATCCACCAAGTCTTCAAGTTCTTATGAAAAGAGGAGAGTGATGGAGACTGTCTTATCTCCCTGGGGAGGGTGTTCCAGAGACCACCACCAAGAAGGCTCCTCTCTCATCCCCACCAACCATGCTTGAGATGGTGGTGGGAGTGAGAATAGGGCCTCCCTTGTGGATCCCTTACCTTGCCAGCCAGGGTGGCAGGGCCCAGGAAGAGACAGGCTAGGTAGTTTCAGCTTAGTAGGCCTGGCAGAAAGCTGTAGGAGCCATCTTAGTTTAGGGAAGCTCCAGTTCAGAGAGGGGGAGTGGCCGAGGCCTGAGCCAGCCCAGCAACAGCCAGGATTGGTTTGGAAAAGGGGGGCGGAGTTAGACAGATGGAGGGAAAAAGAGAGAAACTTATTTTGACAGTTCAGTTCAGTTCTGGGTGATGTTGGAGTAGGATTAGAGTTTTAGGAGTCTCTGTTAGGAAATAGGCAGCTTGCCTGTAGTTTGCACAGCAAAGTAGGCTGTGGCAGACTGGTTTCAGCTATTTTAGAGGAGAAATAGCTGGGTTTTGTTTAGGAATTGTAACAAAGAATAGAACCATTCTCTCAAAGCAACCGTTACGCTTCTAAGAACCAAGAACACTTTAATTGTAACAGCCAAGCCTCTGAACCTGCATTCACTTTTATTCTGTAACTTGTATTCAATAAACTCTTTCTTGTTATTTTTAAAATTTAAGCCTGAGTCATGTGCCATTTATAGATTCAGTCCCTTTCCTTTTAATTCAACCTCACCTGTTTTCCCTCACAGAAGCCTTTGTTAATACACAATATTTGGTGGTCTAAGAAGCCTTTTTACTATTTTTACCAGCTAGAGGGTTCCTGGTTATTTGGTTTATGGTGGCAGTGAAGGTTTAAAGGAAGAGACATCCCCTCAAGTTTTATCTAGGGGCCAAAGTGGTGTGAATTCCTTATTGAAGGAGGGACAGTGTTGGGATCTGCTTGCCCCCTGTCCAGTGATATTGTTTGGCCATAAAGACTGCCTTTATGATTAGGGGTAGATGGTGGGATTGAGCGCATTGCCATCTGCCTGGTTATTATAATTGGTGTGGCAGTGGTGGGTTTGCTTTACCCCCTGCCCAAATAGCATTAAGGAGTCTTTATAATTTGGTGGCAGCGGTGGGATCTCCTTGACCCCCTGCCCAGACGGCCATTCGAGCATATATCTTTATAACCACCACCAAGAAGGCTCCTCTCTCATCCCCACCAACCATGCTTGAGATGGTGGTGGGAGTGAGAATAGGGCCTCCCTTGTGGATTTTAGAGTTTGCAACGGTTCATAGAAGGAGATAGGTGGAGCCGGAACCTTTTACGGCTTTATAGGTCATAACCTGCACCTTGAATTTGGCTCAGCAACTTACCAGCTTTTTATAGAATCATAGAATCATAGAATCAAAGAGTTGGAAGAGACCTCTTGGGCCATCCAGTCCAACCCCCTGCCAAGAAGCAGAAATATTGCATTCAAATCACTCCTAACAGATGGCCATCCAGCCTCTGTTTAAAAGCTTCCAAAGAAGGAGCCTCCACCACACTCCGGGGCAGAGAGTTCCACTGATGAACAGCTCTCACAGTCAGGAATTTCTTCCTCATGTTCAGATGGAATCTCCTTTCCTGTAGTTTGAAGCCATTATGTGCTGCCTTTTGTGTGAGAAACTTGTTTTTTACACAGAAAATGTTATATTGCAAATTTTGCACAAATATGCTATCTTCTATGCAAAACGACTCGCAAAGGATAGTTGCCACACTGTGAATAATCTTGCAAAACTATGCCAGTTTTGATGACTTTCTTAGAATCATTAGAAGATTCATTCTTTTTAGAATGAAAATGTACATGCCAACTACACATGTCAGTTCTTTCTTAAAATGCCACATTTTCCCAGGAATTTTTAGTCCACATTCCCAACAGTTTCAATTATATTTAACTTAATTTATCCCCATTCATCCAAGCAATTATGCCATTTCTTTACTCCTTCCTCTTTTCCCTCTTCTCGTTCATGGTTAATTTTCCACTGAATGTTCCCTGCTGGCTAGGGCCCATCTATAGTACAATAAAAAGGATAAGATTTTTTAAAAATAAAATATAATTGTACAGAATTATCTCTGGGGAAAAGAACTAACCCTGAGAAATTGTGGTTTTTATATTTTATCTCAAACTCTTTCTGCAGGTGCAATTTTCATATTCAAAAGCTTTTATTGAGTGCAAAGTTAAGCAGTCATTTCTTGCATATGACAAGACTTACTTACCCTATTAAGGTCACTAAGATCAGGTGCAAAACCAGTGAGCATGGAGACATCGATGATGGACATTGTGGCATCAACTTTACCAAGATACCTAAAATCAGGAGCAGATAAAAATGGCACAGAAAGATTTTAGCACTGGATTTGCTTTCAGGCCAGTAAGATCGGTTTTTCATATTTTCAAAGTGATTCTGTCTGTTCTGTCACGCACTGGGCCTGAAATAATTGTCTTTTGAAATAGGACGTGCACCTTGTGCCCAGCGGGAAGCCAGGGCGCCACAAAAGAGGCCCTCAAGGATTTTCCTGAAGAAATGGTCTTTAGATGGCTTGAAAGGTTAAACAAAGTCCTTTATTATTGAACAAATTAAACAGATATTTCTCCAATCTTCAATGAGTCAAACAAATGCTTCAAGGCTTTAAATCAACTGGTGGCTTCCTTAATCTTGTCCACAAGGGACAGACAACTGTCTTCATTAATTGTTCTTATACTTTGAGAGGAAAACCCTTTTTTAACCTCTCCCAGGCTGTCTGTTATCTAAGCTTTGTTGGTGTGGGATCTACTACCAATTCCAAACCTACCAGACAAAGCTTGTAGATTCTCCAGCTGGAGTTTTTTGGGTCTGTAAAACTGCTTTCCCTCTGGAATTTCTTTAAGACTTTAGGGCTGTTTCCCTCAGATGCTGTAAGGCTGAAAGGCTGCAAGCTCCCAGCCAGAGCTTTGGGAATTTCCCCCCGGAATGTCTTGAGAAATGAAGCTTTTCTGCAGGTGAAGCTTGTCCACGTCCTCTAACTTAGCTTTCCTCACTAAGACTAACTAAAAATGGCCCACTCTTCCCTTCCCATCTCCCTAGGAGAAGGGGCGAATCCAAACTTGACAATGATAGACAGGTGGCTTGCCCTATGAGTGCAAACCAAAGGAAGCCACCTTTTTTGCAGAATCCCTGAAACTTTGGAATGCATGCAAACACTTAATAGAAAGAAAATAAAGTTGGAGCTCCTGGTACAGACATACCAGCACACTGTTAGAAAAATGAAAAGTGAGATCTAGCAAGACTCACCAAGACATATGCACTTGATGAACAAAATAATTCTGGTAAAGACTTATAAAATGTCTAAGCCTGTGCACTTCTGTCCAAACCTGTGCACATGTCCAGATACATTACACTGCCGTCTTGTCACAAGAATTTCAATGTGCAGATTTGACAAATATGAATTTAATATGATGTATGGGAATGAATAGAAGAATGGAAGTTGTATGGATGTAGTTAATAATTTTGGAAACACCAGTACAATATTAAGGCCTGCAATAACTAACTACCTGCTTTCTGGCGTGTGATTAAAACCTGTTAATGAGATCTGAAGAGTAAACTCTGATAAGAATTGGGACAGTGATAACAGAAATGTTTGCAACATTCCTTATGTTAAGAAGGAAGTCAACATAAGATCAACACCAATCAAGAAGATCAACATCTGGCCAGGAAACTGAGATGGAGCCAGGATGGAAGGCGCCTATCATTCATTTACAACTTTGGGACTACATCAGGAGAGAGATAGTATACCTATGGATAGTGGCAGATTTGCACGGGAGCAGTCTGGTCACTTTGGGGCTTCTTTCTCAAGGAAAGAGGAAGAAGTGCACTTTTGGAGTCTTAGATTTTGTACAGGTAGTCAGGTTCTGCTGTATGGAAAACAGAGATCTGGTCCTTCTCATTGTTCTTAGGGAAGAAGTTTTGGCATTTCAGTGTGGTGAAGTTATGGCATTATGGAAGTTTCGGAACTGTACGTTGGCAGGCTGCAGGAAAGCAAGGTCTGGCCTAACAGGTGCTTCTCCAAGGAGGGAGAAAAGGATATGGTAATATTTGGATGCATGTGGATGAATGTGTGTACATGTGTGTGAATGTTGAGTGAAAATGTAATTCCCCTTTGTTTGTTTGTTAACCAATGTAATTGTTGCATAGAATCTGTATGTCCAATGTCAATTCTTTGTCTAAATGTCTTTCTGTAATCTGATATACCCTCTCACACTGGAAATTGCTATAAAAAGAACCTATGTTTCAAAGTCATTGAAAAGTCATTCATGACAGTCCTACCCTTTTTAATCTTTTAATCTATTAGATTGGCCCTGCCCACAGTGATTGACTTTTGTGGTCTAAATATTGTGATTTTATATTGTGAAAGTGTTATTTATAATGATATTGTACTTTATTTTCTTACATTTTATTGCTGTATTCTTTTTATATTGATGTATTGTTTTGCTGGGCTTGTCCTCATGTAAGCTGCCCTGAGTCCCCTTGGGGAGATGCTGACGAGTTATAAATAAATAAATAAATAAATAAATAATAATAATAATAATAATTATTATTACTAGCTGTACCCACCACGTGTTGCTGTAGCCAACCTTCCCTCTCTCTTTCCTTCCTTTCCTCCCTCCCTATCTTTCTTCCATCTCTACCTGTTTCTTTCCTCCCTTTCTTTGCTCTTTGGTTACATCCATCTTTCCTTCTTCTTTCCTTTTTTCCTTCTTTCCTTCTTTCTTTCTTTCCTACTTTCCCTCCCTCCCTCCTTCCTTCCTTCCTTCCTTCCTTCCTTCCTTCCTTCCTTCCTTCCTTCCTTCCTTCCTTCCTTCCCTATCTTTCGTTCCTTCTCTCCTTCCTTCCCTCTCTTTTTCCTTTCACTTTTTTATTTCCTTCTCTCTTTCCTTGCTTCTCTATCTTTCTTTCTTTCCTTCTTTCCCTCCCTCCTTCTCTCCTTCCTTCCTCTCCTTCCCTCTTTCCCTCCTTCTCTCGTTACTTCTTGACTGTCCCTTCCATTTAATATTGTATTTATATCTTACATAGAAAGAAGGAAAGGAAGAAGGAAGGAAGGAGGGACAGGAAGGAAGGAAGGAAAAAGAAGGGAGGGACGGAAAGAAGAGAAGGAAGGAAAAGAAAGAAGGAGGGACAGGAAGGGAGGGAGGAAGGAAGGAGAAGGAAGGAAGGAGGAAGGAAGGAGGGAAAGAAAGGAGGGGGATGAAGAAAGGAGGGAGGAAAGGAAATGAAGGGGAAGGAAATGAAGAAAGGGAAAGGAGGAAAGGGAGGGAGGAAAGGAAGGAAAGGAAAAAGGAAGGAGGAGAAGAAGGGAAGGAAGGAGAAGGAAAGAAGAAAAGGAAAGAAAGGAAAGGGATGAAAGAAGGGAAGGGAGGGAGAGAAGGAAGGTCCTTCATTCAAGCACCGTGGACCTTCTTCACCTCCTCCTCCTCCTCCCCTTCTTCCTTGCGTGGAGCACTCCGTTGATGCTGCTGGCACTTTCCAACAGAGAAAGGGGGAGGAGACTGCTCTCCTGACATAGGAGGGGAAGAGAAGGGGCTGCATGTGGCAAGCCTCCACCTCCACTCCACTCGCTTGTGTGTGTGTGTGGCCGTGCACGTGCGCCTGGCTTTAACGGCCACTGTTTCCCCGCGAGGGGGAGGAGGGGGCATGGCCTTGGGTCTCGGTAGACATGTAGTTTCTCCTTTGTGGACATGCAGTTTAGAAGTCCTTTCTGCTTTTTTGTTTTCATTGTTTTTGAGTGGAGAACATACATTGGATTGTTAGGGACATAGTGTCCAAATTTGGTGTCAATTGCCCCAGTGGTTTCTGAGTTCCGTGAATAGCACAAACGAACATTACATTTTTATTTATATAGATTATAATTAAGGATCATTATTTTTATAAGGTGAACAGCTTGCCTAAATGCACAAGAAGCATTTGGCTGGCTTTTATGTAGTTGTCTATTGCCAATCATCAATTGGGAATCACATCACATTTGAAAACCTGCAGCACTTAAAATCAATTGCTGTCCTCACTTTCTCCATTCATTATAGGCCAAGGTGAAGAACCCCAGTCATCCAGATGCAGGAGACTGCAGTTCCCTTCAGCCTTAAGAATAAAGCTCAATGAGAAGAGATGACAAGGACTGCAGTTTGTCAACATCTGGAGGGATAAATAAACATTTTTTCTCCATTCAAGGCAAAATGGTGTAATCTTGCACATAGAAGGCAAAGGTGACAATTTATCAACTTCAGTGAATTTTTTTCCAAGTGCTGCCCTTTAGTTTCTAATGCGTTCTTCTCCAACCAGTTTAGGCTGGGAGTAGGATATATTCAACTGCTTTGCAAATGAGACTCAACATATCTTGAACTTGTGAAAACAGAGAACCTTTAGGGACATGTTTCTTGTAAAGCAGTACTTTCTGCTCCTTCAGCTAAATCTCTGGCACTCTCACCTGGTGCAGATTTTCATCTTGACCATCTGGAGGGATCCCTTTAGCTCCTTCTGACCTAGAAATTGTTAAGACAAAGAGGAAAAGAATCAGTGTTCATATAACCTCCCAGCTACTACAAAGATAACCCGCTGAAGCCTAACCCTTCCAAGACACAAATGTGTGCTTTCTACCTACGCAACCATGAAGCTAACAGGAAATTGAAAGTCACCTGGGAAGGTCAAGAACTTGAACACTGTTTCCATCCTAAATATCTCGGTGTCACCTTAGATCGAACACTAGCATATAGGAAACACTGCTTGAACACCAAGCACAAAGTAGCTGCACGCAATAACATCCTGTGGAAACTTACTGGCAGCACATGGGGTGCAGACCCAAAATTAGTAAGAACATCAGCCCTGGCCTTGTCTTACTCAACTGCTGAGTATGCCTGCCCTGTTTGGCATAAGTCTGCCCATGCAAAGCAGGTGAACATAGCATTGAATGAAACATGCAGAATAATCACAGGATGTCTTAAACCTACACCTGTTGATAAACTCTACAAGCTAGCTGGCATTGCCCCCCCCCCCCCCCCCCGATGTGTGATGGGAAGTTGCTGCTAAATGTGAGAGAAATAAGGTTGAACACTGTGAAAGCCACCTACTACATGGCTACCAGCCTCCTCCCAGTAGACTCAAATCAAGGAAAAGCTTTATGAGAACTACCACTCCTCTTAGCGTCCCCCCAGCAACAGCAAGGGTATCCCTCTGGGCAGCTAAACCAGGAAATCCCAACTGGATGCCCCCCCCCCCCCACAAGGGTCTTCCTCCAGGGGCAAACCAAGAATGGGCAACTTGGAAGTCCCTGAATAGTGGAGTGGGCAGATCAAAAGACAACCTGGCAAAATGGCACTACCTAAAAGAATCCCACACCTTATGTGACTGTGGAGCAGAACAGACAACTCCGCATCTGTATGTGCCCTGCCTCATGTACAGAGGAAGAATTGTTGGAGGCTACAGACAATGCCATTGCTGTTGCCAGTTTTTGGTCAAAAGATGTTTAGTCACCTGTGCTCCTTCTATTTTTATTGGTTTTATACTAATTTATGCAATGCTTTTGATACAAAATAAAAAAAACCTCTCCGCAGCATTAAATGGGGCCATGTGTTCCAATGAAAAGCCTTGATTGTCCTAGAAGAAATGGTCTCCATGAAAAAAGTATTCATCTGTCACCCACTCCCTCCTTTTCTGACAACCCAATAATAGGCTTCTTCTATCCTCATTGGCAGATTTTCACAAAGTACCCCAAGATCTGTTAAAGATCTACATTCTAATTTGTGTTCTAATTCACAAAAAAGGACACTTGCATGAAAGTTGGTCTAGAATAAAACCTGGTGTTATCCTTTGTTGGCATTGTACCATTCCTTTATTTTCTGAACTATTTTGGCTCTCCTGTCTCATTTTTGCTCTCATTTACTCTCTGTCATATGCCTCTCTTTTGTCCTCTTGCTGTCCTAGCTGAGTGTTTAAATCAGGGGTCCTCAAACTTTTTAAACAGAGGGCCAGGTCACAGTCCCTCAAACTGTTGTAGGGCTGGATTATAATTTGAAAAAAACATGAATGAATTTCTATGCAGACTGCACATATTTTATTTGTAGTGCAAAAAAACCCCACTTTAAAACAATACAATTATTATTAGTATTTCAGTGGGAAGTGTGGCCTGCTTTTGGCTGATGAGATAGGGTTGTTGTTGTTGTATGCTGTAATAACTTCTAAGCTTTGCCGGCTAGGCCGAAGCCTAAGAGTCAGTGGGCTGAGTATCCATCTTGAAAGAGTAGCTTAGAATTAGCTGACATCTTGGGAGAGGCAAGTAAGCAGGGGAGGAGTCAGCCGACTCCTGATTGGTTTAAGCGCCAAGGGGAGGAGTTGGGTGTGAGTGAAAAAAGCCTGTCACTTCTGACAGGAGGAGAGAAGGGTTTTAACAGCAGAGAGAGAAGTAGGATTTTAGCAGAGAAGGATTTAGACAGGGAGAAGGTAGCTTTTGAGTGAGCCAAGCAGTTAGGGAATAAGGAAGGGACAAGGGCTTCAGTATTACTGTACTTGGAGGGTCAGTGAAGAAGACTTGTCCACTTGTATTAATAAAAAGTACAAGAGAGCTTATTGCCCTGAAGAGTAGATTGGAGAAAATCTGATTACTCTGTGAGACAGTCGGGGGACTGATCTCAGGAACACACTGTTTCAAAGAGTTGAATAGTGTGGAGAAGAGAACTCACTTCAAGTTAAAGCTACACCTTTTGTGGAAGTCTCATATCTAATAAGCCAAAGCCTCAGTAACTGAATTACGTGTGTGTACCACTCATTTTATGAGTTGACATATTCTTAAAGTTTAATAAACTTGTTCCTAGTTTATCTTTAACTGGTGTCTGCCTCAGTCTGTCGCACTCAGTGAAAACAGAGTCAGCCTAAAAACCTCTTTACAGTCCAGTCAGCAAGGAAAGGAGCTAATAAAGAAGAACTGAAGCCAGGGTGCATATTGCCTCGAACACATTCACACCTTTGTTTCCTCAAACAATACAATTGAGGTGGCGGTGGCAAAATCTACCAGAATCATCGGTTTCTAATATCTTTAGTTAATCCCTCAATAAAATTCTTGTCACACAGGTGTATTAAGGGACACCCCGGTCCTTTAATCACCCTTACATTGGTGGCAGCGGTGGGATAGAAAGGTTTTCCCCCCTGCCAACGGCTGAACGGCCGTTAGTCTTTATTACATATGCTTTCAAGTTATTTCAGACTTAGGTTGACCTTGAGCGAGGGCTGGGTAAATGACCTTGGAGGGACGTATCCAGCCCTTGGGCTTTAGTTTGGGGACCCCTGGTTTAAATGGTGAATTTGCACAACTGCACTCATATTGTTATCCCTATAAGCCCCTATATCCATGACGGCAAACCTATGATATGCGTGTCAGCACTGACACGCGTAGCCATTTTCTATGACATGTGGCCACATACAGAGAATTATGGGGCTGCATCAGGGGCGGCTGAAGCAACTTATGCACTTGCCAAATCCCTGGCTGTGGGTTGTTTGCTTGCTCACTTCTCCAAGCGTGCGAAAGAGAGGGAAAGGAGAGAGAAAAATAGTGTGCTGTCTCTTTGAGGCAGGAGCACGTCTTGGGAGAAAGAATCCTCCAGCCCCGCCCCTCGGCTGCCAATCATCTGGCGGCACCGCCTTTGATCTGGCCCCCTTTGGCGGAGGGAGGCAGGCACACGCTTGGTTGCTGGGGTCTTTTTTTTCTCCTCAGCTAAACCCCTCTGTTCCAGGAACATTCTTGCCTGATGATTCTCTCACATCTTATGGCAGGCATCCTCAGAGGTTTGTTGGAAACTAGGCAAGTGGGGTTTATATCCCTGTGAAATAATGTCCAGGGTGGGAGAAAGAACTCTTGTCTGTTGGAGGCAAGTGTGAATGTTGCAATTGGCCATTTTGATTAGCCTTGAATGGCCTTGCAGCTTCAAAGTCTGGCTCCTTCCTGCTCAGGGGAATCCTTTGTTAGGAGCCGTTAGCTGGGCTTGACTGATTCTTGTCTGGAATTTTCCTGTTTCTTAGGGTTTATATATCCGTGGAATAACGTCCAGGGTGGGAGAAAGAACTCTTGTCTGTTGGAGGCAAGTGTGAATGTTGCAATTGGCCATTTTGATATGCCTTGAATGGCCTGGCAGCTTCAAAGTCTGGCTCCTTCCTGCTCAAGGGAATCCTTTGTTGGGAGGTGTTAGCTGGGTCTGACTGATTCTTGTCTGGAATTCCTCTGTTTCCTGAGTATTGCTCTTTCTTTACTGTCCTGATTTTAGAGTTTTTTTTTAAATACTGGTAGCCAGATTTTGTTCATTTTCATGGTTTCTTCCTTTCTGCTGAAATTGTCCACATGCTGCTTTTGGATTTCAATGGCTTCTCTGTGTAGTCTGACATATCTTTACTCACAATTTTTCCCTCTACGTACTTTTGTGAGACCTTATTCTCAGTGTTAAATAATATCAAAACCATCAAAAGAAACAGATTGACAGATGATGTTAGTAGCACTTGCTTGGGCTTGAAGTGTACAAAATACCAACCTTCAATTGAACATTTAGTCAATGAAATTCAGCAACAAAAAAGTAATTAATAGGCAGCTTAGTTAAAGAATTTCTCCTCACATTATGCATTTTTGTTATTTGAACTATAAATATCGCAAAATTATGGGGGTTTTTTTCTCAAAGTGGCACCCCACCTGAATTATGCTTGGTTTTTTGGCGAATTTTGACACACCAAGCTGAAAAGGTTGCCCATCACTGCCCTATATTCTTTTTTAAAATGGAAAATAAACAATTCTATTTCATTATGGGAGTCCCTTTCATTAGTTAATTAGATTTTTCAATCTTAGCCTGCAATGCTCTAAAGAGAATCGTAAAAACCCAAAACACAAATCTGAAATGGAAAACAATCAAACAGGAAAATGGGGAACTGGTGTGTCTTGTTCAACACATGTATACATCCTCCAGATCAACACTCTGAAAACGCTGTCACTAAGATTTATGGATTCTGCTACATTTGAACTAGAGGGCAAAATTTAGCATTCATTAGAAGCTACAGTTTTGATCAAAAATGAGTTACCACTCTGACTTACTCAGCTCAAGGGGTTCAACACTAACATCAAGGGTGAATTTCTTGCATTGAGCTGCATCTTCTTTCATCTGTGCATTATACAGTGTCACAACTGTCATTGTTGCTTTTCCTTGGCCGGAGGCACGAACAGTGAAATCTTCATTGAGCTTGGTCTGAAAAACAACCAGAGTTAGTATCCCCTTCTAATGGATTCTCACAAATTGTTTGATTTTATCTAATAGTGTTATTATTACAGAGATGATATTATTCTAGTACCGCATACGAGAAGCTCGGCCTGTCATTGAACATTGAAAAAACCAAGGTGCTGTTTCAGCAGACACCAGCCAACCTCTCTCCAATGGCAATGATACAGCTTAATGGTGTAACATTAGAAAATGTTGACCACTTCCACTACCTTGGCAGCCACCTCTCCACCAAAGTCAACATCGACAACGAAATACAACACCGCCTGAGCTCTGCGAGCGCAGCATTTTTCCGAATGAAGCAGAGTGTTTGAGGACTAGGACCTCCGTAGGAATACCAAGGTGCTTGTTTATAGAGCTATTGTCCTCCCAGCCCTGCTATACGCCTGCGAAACGTGGACTGTCTACAGACGTCACATGCAACTCCTGGAACGATTCCATCAGCACTGCCTCCGGAAAATCCTGCAAATCTCTTGGGAAGACAGGCGGACAAACGTCAGCGTGCTGGAAGAAGCAAAGACCACCAGCATTGAAGCAATGGTCCTCCGCCATCAACTCCGCTGGACCGGCCACGTTGTCCGGATGCCCGACCACCATCTCCCAAAGCAGTTGCTCTACTCTGAACTCAAGAACGGAAAATGGAATGTTGATGGACAGGAAAAGAGATTTAAAGATGGGCTCAAAGCCAGCCTTAAAAACTCTGGCATAGACACTGAGAACTGGGAAGCCCTTGCCCTTGACTGCTCCAGCTGGAGGTCAGCTGTGACCAGCAGTGCTGCAGAATTTGAAGAGGCACGAATGGAGGGTGAAAGGAAGAAGCGTGCCAAGAGGAAAGTGCATCAAGCCAACCCCGACTGAGACTGCCTTCCACCTGGAAACCAATGCCCTCACTGTGGAAGAAGATGCAGAGAAAGAATAGGGCTCCACAGCCACATACGGACCCACAAGAACACTGGAAGACAATCCTCCTCGGAAAACGAGGGATCACCTAATTAATAAAATAAATAAAATAATAAATAATATTCTAGTACCCTGCTTTAAAACAATATGTTTAAATCTTCCTCATACACACATGCCCAGCTTTATAGAAAATTGTAGCCAATCCATTTTTAAATGCACAGGTCTATGTGGTTGATCCTGATCCTGAACTCCATGAAATAGCTAGCAAGTGCCTACAAGACTGCCTTCTTGGGCTTACCTTCCATGTACCATGAAAACAGGGAGGAGTCATATCAGAACTACATCCCACTAACATTGTGGGCTGTTTACGGCTATATTATAAACACCTTCAGGATAATTCACCAAATATAGAATATGTCTTGGAAAAGCAAGAACTTTATTAATAGTAGCATTAAGCCAACTGTACTTTGGTGGAGATACGCAAGACACTTGCAAATGAAACCATAGACAGCACTTTAGAATTTAACTAGACTTCAGCCTTTCCAATAAGTGGATAAGAAATTTAAATAAAACATGAACAACTATTTCCGGAGTGGAAATAATGTATATAGCCTGCTCATAGGTAAAATAAATAAATTATACTTGCTTAAAAAGTGCTATACCTCTGCTGTCCTGGTCAGAAGGGCACCTTCATTGTCGATTACATAACTAATTGGATCTTGACGTTCTGGTAATTTGATGGCAACATTCAGGTTCAATTTCTCATGAGAAGGTATGTCAATCTCGTACTGGGCAAGAGCTTGGAACACCATGATAGTTGCCTGAAATGGCAGGAAGGAAGGAGAGTCAGTTCACCTTGAAGAGAATAGGAAGCCAAAGTCTGGTGCTAACAACAACAACAACAACAACACTTTATTTATATTCCACCCTTCTCACCCTGAAGGGGACTCTGGGTGGATCACAGTACACAGACACGGCAAACATTCAATGCCGCTTTGTATAGACCAGTGCTTCTCAACCTTGGGTCCCCAGATGTTTTTGGTCTACAACTCCCAGAAATTCCAGCCAGTTTACCAGCTGTTAGGATTTCTGTGAATTGTAGGCCAAAAACATCTGAGGACCCCAGGTTGAGAACCACTGGTATAGACAATACATAGACAGACAGAACAGAAAGGAGGTTGTTGTTTCAACTCGGTGTCCAGCTGCTTTTGGTGCCACTGAAGGTATTTACAGCCACGGGGGGGGGGGGGGGGGGGGTGCTGTCGCTCCTTCCTCTATGACAAAGAGCCACCAGGACTTCCTCCTTCCTTTTGTTCATCCAGCATTTTCTGATCTTCTTTCTTTATGGAGTCGTAAAACACCTCTCCCGCTTTTAGCGGTACCTAATTTCTCTAATTACAACTAAAGCTGTTTTTGACTGCTTAGGTAAACAGTGAGCAGGGCTGACAGTCAGCAGCTCATGCTGACCCGGGGCTTCAAACATGCAACCGTTTGACTGATAGATCTTATAGTTGCTGGTGATTTGCCAGCTGTGCTAAACCTCTGGCTAAGGGTTACCGGGGGCTTGTAGGATAAGCATAGCAGTCCCAAACTTCTGGTCACATTTTCTTTAATGTACTTATGACTGCAGCTCCAGAGTTGACAGCATAATAATAATAATAATAATAATAATAATAATAATAATAATAATTTTTTGTCGTGTCAGGAGCCAGTCGCTTCTGGTGTGAGAGAATTGGCCGTCTGCAAGGATGTTGCCCAGGGGACGCCCAGATGATTTGATGTTTTTATCATCCTTGTGGGAGGCTTCTCTCATATCCCTGCATGAGGAGCTGGAGCTGATAGAGGGAGCTCATCCGCCTCTCCCCGGATTCGAACCTGCGACCTGTCGGTCTTCAGTCCTGCCAGCACAGGGGTTTAACCCACTGTGTCACCGGGGGCTCTATAATAATAATAAACCTTTATTTATATCCCGCTACCATCTCCCAAAGGACTCGGTGCGGCTTACAATAGGCCGAGACCCAATACAACAATAAAAGACAACAACAATACAGCAGTAAATAAAAATCAAGCAGTAAACATTAACAATAAACATGACACAATTAAAACCAATGTCAGGGCCAAATGTAATGGTTAAAAATTTTAAAAAGCTGGGTGTTACTGGGTAAAATGGATAGGTATTTGGTGAATAGGTAGGGCATGCGGACAGACCTAAATCTCTAGTAAAGTGCATTTGGGACAAAGTGCTTTGGGACAAAAGCATGGTTTTGGACTCAGACTTCAACACTGAAGAGAGGCTGAACGATTCCTATTTTTGACAAGCGACTTTCTTTTCCAAAGCTACTACTTATTCAACTTTCAGATTGAAACATGCAAGTATTTCTATGATAATGGGCAGGAAGGACTTTATCCTATTCTTTCTTTTCCACACAACTCCCTTCCCAAGGCAAGAAAGCTCATGCTATGGGTGGCTGAGATATTGTCCATTGTTTGGCCCTCAGTCAGGTTTAGCAATCCCTGTGACTGGGCTGTATCCCTCGAAATTGCTGGTGGAGGCATTTCATGTGAGCATAAATACAACTGTATTAAAAAAAAATTCCATATGGTATGTCAGAGAGTACTCCATCATAAATGCTGCCTTAATTACATGCTAGTTTTATATATTAAGGGAATTGTTCTGTTTGGAGGCCCCAACTGCAGACTAAAGTGGAAAGACCAGATAGAGACAAGATCGCAGCCTGAAATGAAAGATAGTTTTTAATAGGAAAATGCCAGTCACAGAACAACAGAAGTGAAATACTTGCCTGGGTTTGTCCATATGTTCCCCCATAATATTTCTGCTCCGTTAGCCATTTAACAATATTGCCAGTGCCCTCAATCCTGTTCATTTTCAGCAAAGCCAGCAAGGCATAGGAGGTGCCTTCAATGTTGTAGGTTCGGGCATTATATTCTTCCCACCTGTTATTGCCTAAATATATAGAAAGAGATTATTGGCTGAACAGCTCTTCAGGGCATATGAACTCATAGTCCTAAACTCCTCAATGCCCTCGAAATACCATCATTCCCCATAAGAAACAGGCTGTCACCTACCTCTGGATTTTAAAGTCCCTTTCTCTCCAACTACTACCCAGCCATTGAAATGCTTCTACAATGCTGATAGAGTTAGCCATAGATATTGAAATATACACATGCATACTCTGAGATAACTTACAATATCTGAATCATTCCAAAAATTTCATGGTAATTAAGGGGGGGGGGGGAATGAGCTGTTTTCAATCTTTTCTGCTAATGGTAACATGGGCACTACTTAAGAAAACCATGCATTAATGAGCCTGGATCTTCAGGTTTCGGCAGTGACCAGGGGAGCATTTGAACAATTAAAACTTGTGCGCCAGCTGCGCCCGTACCTTGGGAAGTCTGACTTGGCTACGGTGGTCCATGCTCTGGTTACATCCCATATAGACTACTGCAATGCACTCTACATGGGGTTGCCTTTGAAGACCGCCCGGAAGCTTCAAATGGTCCAGCGTGCGGCAGCCGGGTTGCTAACAGGAGCTGGGCTCAGGGAGCATACAACTCCCCTGTTGAATCAGCTCCACTGGCTGCCAGTCTGCTACCGGGCTCAATTCAAAGTGCTGGCTTTAGCCTATAAAGCCCTAAACGGTTCTGGCCCAGTCTATCTATTTGAACACATCTCTCCCTACAAACCCCCCAGGAACCTAAGATCGTCTGGGGAGGTCCTGCTCTCGATCCTGCCTCCTTCGCAGGCACGTCTGGCAGGGACGAGAGACAGGGCCTTCTCTGTGGTGGTCCCCTGGCTATGGAACTCCCTCCCCAGGGATATTAGATCAGTCTCCTCCCTCCTGACTTTCCGAAAAAGAGTAAAAACTTGGCTTTTCGAGCAAGCATTCGGAACCCCGGAGTAAACAGACAAACCAGAGTTGGAAATTGACCCAGGAACGGCCAAGACAATGTAACAGATGAAGATTTGAACAGAGGACAGTTTCTTTTTAAATTGTTATTATGCACTGTCGTTTATGTTTAATTGCACTTAATGTTTTTGCTTTATCAATGTATGTATTTTGTTTCGGCATCGAATTGTGCCGACTGTATATACCGCCCTGAGTCGCCTTCGGGCTGAAATGGGCGGGATAGAAATAATGTAAATAAATAATAATAAATAAATAATAAATTAGATATAAGGTATTTCACATAATTTCCAATTGATCTGCCCAGGAGTTTAGCAGAATTCTCTGAGTCAAGGATATCAATGCAACTTTGAATAGGCACCCAGAGCAGAAGGAAAACAAATAAATAAACTGCAGTCTATTAGACAAATGATTAAGTGATTCAGAGCCTTAGAGTGATTTGCACACATTATCTTGAGAAGAAATTTTGGAATGCAAATTTCCACTTGACATGGGCAGCCTTTGGCTTGGCTGCTGCTCACACAACAGCCATGACTAGTTTCACTAGTCTTTCATTCAGCTCCTAACAGAAACTGCCTGTCCTTTTCATTCTGTTCAGGGTCTTGCTCCAAAGGTACCTTCTGATGCTGCCATGAGGACGCTGTCATCCTTCAATCTCCCTGCCAGGGCCAAAGCGTAGGCTGTCAGCGCTGTGGTATAAGGCCTTCGCAATGTGTTATATTTCTTCAGTAAATAATTAGCAGCTTTATTGATGCTGTTGTTTAGAACCTACATTGAAAGTTGCAGTGGGGAGAAGAGAAAGATGGTATTCATGTGTTAGGGCAATTTAGGAAGCATATTTCAATCATGAGCAAAAATGTAATTCCCTTTTGTTTGTTAGCCAATGTAATTTGTAGGTTGTGGATTCAATGTAGTTACATAGAATCTGTATGTCTGTATGTCCAACATTGTTCTTTGTGTAAAAGTTTTGATACACTTTCTCATACTGGAAAATTACAATAAATAGAACCTATGCTTTAAAGTTATCCACCCAGTTCTTTCAGAGCAAAGCTTGTCTGAATAATCAGAGAAACATAGAGTTGGAAGAGACCTCATGGGCCATCCAGTCCAACTCCCTGCTAAGAAGCAGGAAAATTGCATTCAAACACCCCCGACAGATGGCCATCCAGCCTCTGTTTAAGGTTTTGGAATTTGTACATTTTAGCAAGTTGCTTAGGTGTTGTATACCATCTGCGGTATACATTTTTATCCAATTTTCTTTTAAATCCGTTGCATATGTATATTTTAATTTTTTGTTCCACATCTGCTCCCACTCCCTCATTTGAATTGGTCTTCTTAGATTTTGGGCCCATTTTATCATACAGTTTTTTTACCTGTTCTAAAATGTATAAAACGGTTTCTGATAAGTGTTGGAAATGTTCAGAACAAGTTGGCTCCTTCTACCATATGTGGTGGACTTGTAAAGAAGCAGTAAAGTTTTGGAGGGTAATTCATGAAGAGGCACAAAAGATTTTAAAAAGAACTTTTATAAGAAAACCAGAGTACTATTTGTTAGGTTTCACAGATTTAGATTTACAACTGACGGAATAAGAGGACAAACTCTTTACATATATTATGACTGCCGCTAGAATTGTCTTTGCTAGAGAATGGAAGCAAGGCTCAGTTCCACCCATACAGGAATGGGTGGAGAAAATCAAAGAAATAAAGGACATGGACGAATTGACTTTTTTGTTGAAGAAAAATACAGGTAAGATAATAAAAAGAATGAATTGGGATAATCTCCGTGACTATCTGGATAATTTGGGAAAAGAAAAAACAAGAGAGACAATTTTATTATGCTCAAAAACTCTTTTTAAATTTTTGAGTAATAAGAAAACATTATCCAAGAAGATGGAATGGAAGTCATCTTTTGTGTGTGTGTGTGTGTGGGTGTATTTTTGTAGTTTATATTTTTTAGGTTTTTTTTAAGGGCTTTATCTAGGATGTTTTCTACTTTTCTCTTTTCTCTTTTTTTCCTCTTTTCTTCACTTTTCTATACTTTATTGTTCTCACTCTTTCGTTGTATTCTATATAAAATTTAATTAAAATTTTTTTTAAAAAAGGTTTTGAAATTTGTAACACCCCCTTGTTCTCCTTTCTCTCACACACACCCATGATTCATCACTAGATGACAATAATATCGGCTGCATTATCCATATGCTAACATTTTCTTTCTCTGATCAGTTCCAACACCAACTGCACTGATCAGTTTTTATGTCTGGCCGGTACAGTATCTTAAGGCTTTCACTTCTGAGAGGAAAGAAGTTTAGAGGCAGCTCTACTGGGCTCACTTGGATGTGAATAACATGAAGAGTTTGGGTTTAATTAAATTAAGATCCAGTGCAATCCTGAGACTGGTAATTTGGTGAGAGAGACCAGAGACTTTCTCTGGCTGGAAAATTGTCAATGTCCTCCATAAACTGCAAACTCCAGGATTCTATGGGATGCAGCCATAGCAATTAGGGCTGGGCAACCACAGAAAAATTTGTTTCTAAACTCGATTTGTTTTTAGGGGGTTTTTGCATTTCGTTTTTTAAAAGAATTCCGAAATTTTTCTTTAAAAAAGTTCGAAATATACGAAATTTCGGAAATTAAACAATTACGAAACAATTACGAATCGATTCGTTAATGGCGGACGCGATTGCGCAATACGCTAAAAAAACCTCCAAATGGGACAGGGGGAACTTCTGAAGCTTCCCTCTCCCTCTGTTGTCGACTGTTGGTGTGATAATTTATTTTTTTATCACTGATAAAACAAACAACAACTATAAAACTTGCACCAGACATACGGAAATAATAACGAAACAATTTCGAAACGATTTCGAAACAATTACGAAACAATTACGAAATGAATTGAAAAATTCGTTTCGATTTTTAGTTGCTCCTGAATGGTTCAATATCGGATCGTAAGCTAATTTAAATACGAATCAATAACGAATTACGAAATTAACGAACGAAACTGCCCAGCCCTAATAGCAATCAAAGGGGAATCACAGTGATGTAACTGTGTAGTGTGAAAAGGCTCTATATATCTGTAGCATGGACAGATTTATAGTGAAGGCTGTAGGTTACATTACTTTCACCCTGTTTAACAAACTACAATATGCTTTCCCATTTGGCAACCTCATTTGCGGAAAGTGAAATAGAACAAGAACCCTGCGTACAAGAAGATGAACTTCTTCTTGTACGCAGGGTTCTTGTTCTATTTCACTTTCCGCAAATGAGGTTGCCAAATGGGAAAGCATATTGTAGTTTGTTAAACAGGGTGAAAGTACTTATGAACTTATGAGAATCAGTGTGGTATAGTGTTTTAAGCTTTGGACTATGACTCTGGAGGCCACAGTTCGAATTCCCTCTTAGCCATCGAAACCCATTGAGTGACCTTGGGTGATTCATGCTCTTTCAGCCTCCTAGGAAGACAAAGATAAACCCCCACAGAACAAATCTTGACAAGAAACCCCTGTGTTAAGTTTGTGTTAGAGTTGTTATTGGTTGAAAATGACCTGAAGGCACACAGTAGCAACACAATTTGAGCGTACTCTTGGCCACATTGTATTTCCCCCCATGGGTGCCAGGTGGTGGTTTTTAATTTTCTTGCAAAATGATGCATCTAAGACTACATATGGAAAAATTAGAGGGGGGGGGGGATAAATCTGCACCTTCATCAAAACAAAAGCAGAAAGTAATACAATCATAAGACCTCTCTAAGATGTTTCATCAAAGTTCACGTGGGCATCATTCCTGTCTGTTATCTATCCTTTTCTTTTGACCCATTCCAAATAATTGGTGAATAATTCATAGAGCATATAACTATTTGTGTAACAGATTAAAAAGAAAAAACACTCACGTTACTGTGGGATGGGAACCATGTGACCTTCCAGATGTAGTTGGACTGTAGTTCCGAGCAGGAAAAGCGAATGGCAAGGAATGCTGGGAGTTATGGTCCAACAACTTCTGGATGGCTACATGATTCATTTGCTAGCTTTGGATTGAGAATGCAATGAGTTGGGTTGGTCATGGCTCTTGAGAGACTGTAATGTTGAAGACAAACTAATGTATTGATTAAAAAAGGAACAAAATGGGAACGAATAAGGTATCTATCTATATAAATAAAAATGTAATGTTCATTTGTGGGATTAACAGAACTCAAAAACCACTGGACGAATTTACACCAAATTTGGACACAAGACACCTAACAACCCAATGTATGTCCTTCACTCAAAAAGAATTGATTTTGTCATTTGGGAGTTGTAGTTGCTGGGATGTATAGTTCATCTACAATCAAAGAGCATTCTGAACTCCACCAATAATGGAATCCAACCAAACTTGGCACACAGGACTCCCATGACTAACAAAAAACACTAGAAGGGTTTGGTGGACATTGACCTTGAGTTTGGGAGTTGTAGTTCACCTACATCCAGAAAGTACTGTGGACTCAGACAATGAGGGATCTGGACCAAACTTGGTACAAATATTCCATATGCCCAAATATGAACACAAATGGAATTTGGGGAAAATAGACCTTGACATTTGGGAGTTGTAGTTATTGGGATTTATAGTTCACCTACAATCAAACCCCACCAACAATAGAATTGGGCCAAACTTCCAACATAGAACCCCCATGACCAACAGAAAATACTATGTTTTCTGGTGGTCTTTCGTAACCCTTCTGATACCCCCTTTTGACCCCCTCCCAGGGGTCTCGACCCCCAGATTGAAAAATGCCACCTTAAGGCCATCCAGTCCAACTCGCTTCACCAGGGCAAGAAAACATAATCAAAGCCCTCCTGACAAAGAGCCATCCAGCCATAGATAGATATAGATGATTCACACACACACACATGTATAGGACAGATATAGTATCATAGATTTGAAAGGGACCCCTAAAGAAGGACAATTATATGTCGCATGTTCCAGAGTAGGCAAACCAGACAATCTCCACATCAATACTGACAGAGAAACAACAAGAAATACTGTTTACCCACAAGCAGAAAGAAATTACATATATTAGAAACCAACACTTTCTCATTACTTTATTTTCCAGATCACCAGACTGGGCCACAGCAATGCGTGGCTGGGGATGGCTAGTTTATAATAAATTGCCACCTCTTGTGATCTTTCTTGCTACAGATGTACTTACATTGACATGTCTCTCACAGAGGCTTCTGGATTCCAGCAATGCAACCAGGACGAAAGCTGTTAACGACACCTCTGGTTCAGCACCCTTATAGCCTCCCTAAAAGGAAGCAGAAGACAAAAGAAAGCACAAATCGAATGCAGGAGACAGACCTTAATGGAGCTCCTAAATAAATTCAGCCCTTTTGATAGTTAGAGTGAACATTTCATTGACACAGGGCCCTTCCACACACTCCTATATCCCAGAATATCAAGACAGAAAATCCCACAATATCTGCTTTGAACTGGGTTATCTGAGTCCACACTCAGATAATGTGGGATTTCCTGCTTTGATATTCTGGGATATAGGGCTGTGTGGAAGGACCCACAGAATCCTCCAACAACCAGTGCTGAAACTAGATATTTGCACTAGGTTAAATGAACTTCACAGTCCTAGGCCTCTTAGTCAAAATTCCCCACTTCTTCTCCATTGGATATATCCACTGCCTTAACTTTTTCAACATTCTTGACTATTCTTGTGTAGAACATCTTCAGTATTATGTTTTAATTCTCCTCTGCCTCTTTCCTGCTCTTCTCTTGTCTACACCTGAAACAGCCTTCAGTTTTCTGGTGATTCAATTTCCTTTTTCAATTCCTCTGAAAGCTACCTTATCTTAACTGTACATAAATTACTCATACGTTGTCTCCATTTTCCCATCAGATTCTATTACTACTTTTATTTCCTTTTTTGACCCATTATGTCTATCTGGTACAACACAGCCAGCTACTTAATATCCGTTTTATGTTCTTCTGGATATAAAATCCCCTGGGCTGCAGAAATAGCAAAAAGAAAGCATACCAACATCTCTCCATGAATCACAGGGGCATCTTCACTGAAAATCCCATCTGGCTTTTGTCTTTCCAGAATCAGCCACTTCACACCTCCACAGACAACCCTGTCATCAATAGTTGATACAATTTTGGAAGCCAAGGAAAAGACCTTCACTACATATGCTGTTAGCCTGCAAGAAAAACAACATACATCAGCTGAGGTTTATTTAATGGTAGTAAGAATATTATTATTATTTACGGTATTTCTATGCCGCCTTTCTCAGCCCAAAGGCGACTCAAAGCAGCTTACAAATTGGCAGCAATTCGATGCCACAACAGTCATGAAATAGAATTAAAAACATTAGCACACATTATAAAAATTATATAAAATCATTAAAAAACATAGAGACTAGCGACTAGAAAGTACATGCAATAAATCTGCAGAAAAAAGGAGAATAATGCCCATGCAAATGTAGACAAACTGAATGTATTCCTTAAAAAGCCAGAAGTATTTTGACCAATTTATTTGTGTATGGGCCAAAATTGTGGTTTTCAAAGAATAAATTCTGTCCATCAACAAGTTAAGAGTTTACTTTGTTTTGCTGTTGGCTGGAAATAGCCTTATAATGGTTTGCAGCTTTATAACAATGCTTGCCAGTTCCCTGAAAAGTGAGATCCAAAAGGGGAACAGGCCTTTACTGGAAAGGTTAAAGCAAGAAAGACCTCGAACCTTATAAAAGCAAAACATACACACAAAAAATGGCCTCTCAAAAATGGGGGGAAAAATACCTATTACAAAAGAAAACCAGATATGCTGGATCACTCCAACAACCACCATGTCAGACTACACAGAGAAGCCATTGAAATCCACAAGCATGTGGACAATTTCAACAGAAAGGAGGAAACCATGAAAATGAACAAAATCTGGCTACCAGTATTAAAAAACTCTAAAATTAGAACAGCACAACAACAGAGAGGAAACAAACAAGGACATCTAATCACCTCTCAACAAAAGATTGCTCCAGGCACTGCCAGGCAATCAAATGCTAATCAAGGTGGTCAGTTGAAACATTCACGCCTACCTCCAGCAGACAAGAGTCCTTTGTCCCACCCTGGTCATTCCACAGATATATAAACCCATTTTCCTAGTTCCAATAGACCTCACTACCTCTGAGGATGCTTGCCATAGATGCAGGTGAAACGCCAGGAAAAATGCCTCTAGAACATGGCCATATAGCCCGAAAAAAACCTACAACAACCCTATGCTAGGCATTCTTCCATATAACCCAAAATAATGATGCAATTCTACTTGAAGTGAAATAGCTGTGTGTCCTTTGAAAACTTGGGATTTGTAGATTTGTTAGAAGCTCCTGAGCAGCTCCTTGGACTTCTTCACATGGCCCACTTGGGCTGTACTGTTGTGCCTGCAGTCGTCGGCAAAAGGCAAGGCGCAGCCTCTTTCCTTCCTTTATTGGCACCCATCAGATGGGAGAAAGGGCAGTAATGTGCAGCACTGCTCTTTCTCCCATCGTATGAGGAAAAGGGGAGGAAAGTGCGGGTTGCTCCATTGGAGCTACCAAAAAACACATTTCTCCCCATGGTGGTGGAGGAAGCACCTTCTGGCACTTCACCTCCACTTCAGGGGAAATGTGGGTGGTGCCTGCCATGTGTCATCTGATAGAACTCAGCATGCCTTGTCGAAGCCTCAGCCAAAAGTGACAAATCGGGGCTATTTTTCCCCGTGTGAAGAGGTCCATTGGCTAAAGATTTTCAAGTTCCCTCTTTAAACTGCAAATTACAGGATTCCATGGAATGGCCACTGAAATGGAATGAGAATGAATTATTTGTGCAGAGTGGCAAAGTCCTATAATTCAATGTATGGTTTTTATAATCAATTTAAAACATGGGGTGAGACTTCAAATTATTTTTAAAATACTATATACAATCCTTAGGCTACAGTTTTCTCATACTAGACTAGAGTCTCAGGGTTAAATAATAAGCAGTGGAATTGGGCAAGGAAAAGAAAACAGGAATTAATTTAGTCATTGTCATATCTTTCACCAAGTATGGAATTAAACATTTAATTCTATTTCCTTGGGGACTAAAATGCGGTGCTGGAGAAGGGTTCAACAGATACCATAGACTACTAAGTGTGATGTCTTGGCCTAGATTTTTCCCTCCTCTGTTTCATTTCCTTGTTTTGTTCTTAGACATCTCGCATTCATGGGGTCACCATAAGTCTAAAACCGGCTGTCAGCAGATAACAACAATGTATGAGCCTCACTTGCTCTTAAGGAAGAACATCTCTCAAAAATAACAAACAGAAAGAGAACAAGAAAGCAATTTGCTTCATAAGTTAGAACAAGGGACCTCTTCACATGGGGTTTTTATGGCTCCTTTTCTTCACACAGGGTTGAACAGAATGATGAGATGGTAGAACAGAAGCTCTCTGAAGCTCTAGGTGCTCTCACTGCCTATTACAGGGAAAACCAGCTGATCCTTAATCCATCTAAAACACAGACATGTGCTTTTCACCTTAAGAACAGACAAGCTCTGAGGATCACCTGGGAAGGAATCCCACTGGAGCATTGCAACACACCCAAATACCTGGGAGTCACTCTGGACCGTGCTCTGACCTACAAGAAGCACCACCTGAATATCAAGCAGTGCTTCTTGTAGGTCAGAGCACAGTCAGGGTGCTAGAAATAATATCATACAAAAGCTGACTGGCACAACCTGGGGATCACAACCAGAAACTGTGAAGACATCTGCCCTTGCGCTATGCTACTCTGCTGCTGAGTACGCATGCCCAGTGTGGAACACATCTCACCACACTAAAACAGTGGATGTGGCTCTTAATGAGACATGCCGCATTATCACAGGGTGTCTGCGCCCTACACCACTGGAGAAATTACACTGTTTAGCTGGTATTGCACCACCTGACATCCGCCGAGAAGTTGCAACCAATAGTGAAGGACCAAGGCAGTGACATCTCCAGCTCATCCCCTGTTTGGATATCAACCAGCACGTCAACGACTTAAATCAAGAAATAGTTTTCTAAGATCTACAGAGACACTAGCTGGAACACCTCAGCAACCGAGAGTCCAAAAGTGGCAGGCTCAAACCCAGAACCTCAATCAATGGCTGATACCAAATGAGAGATTCCCTCCTGGGCACACAGAAAACTGGGCGACTTGGAAGGCACTGAACAGACTGCACTCTGGCACCATGAGATGCAGAGCCAACCTTAAGAAATGGGGCTACAAAGTGGAATCCACGACATGTGAGTGTGGAGAAGAGCAAACTACAGACTACCTGCTGCAATGCAACCTGAGCCCCGCCACATGCACAATGGAGGACCTTCTTGCAGCAACACCAGAGGCACTCCAAGTCGTCAAATACTGGTCAAAGGACATTTAATCAACTACCAAGCTTGCAAACTTTTTGTTCTGCTTGTTTATTTGTTAAAAATGCAATGGAACTGTTTGGTCTGCTCCTGACACGATAAATAAATAAATTCACACAGACTTTTTATGGCCCCTTTTCACTCTTCAGGATGGGGTCTGCCGAGAGCCATCAGACAATAGCTGGTTTGGTCCTGCCCCATTCCTCCTGAAGTGGAGGGGAAGCATTGAAGGCGCTTCCTCTGCCATGACAGAGAGGAAAGTGTATGTTGGGTAGCTCTGATGGAGCTACTTGAAGTTTTTTGCCGTTTCCTCCATATTAGGGGCAATGTGCCTTTCCCCATCCCCACCATGTGATGGGGAAGGAGGGAGGCATCCCGCGCAGCTGCCATTTCCCTGGCAACTGCTGGCAAAATGGCACCAGAGTAAAGACGTCCTAAGACAATGAAAACATTCAAAAGTCAGTGTGATGGAAGAGCAAAGATTCTGGCAAGCCTATCACAAATTTAAGTGCAGTCCTACAGTTGTATTACTCCTACCAAGTGCTAGATGGGCGATCTATCCAGGCAGCATAGGAGTGGTCTGGTTTCTTGTATGCCATTTGCTGGGCATAACCTGAAAACACAAGAGAAGCAGGAAGAAAAAGACCAGTAAATAAGGTGCAAGTCCAGCATATGTATCGAGGCAAACAGTCATCAGCTGCACAAATCCAGCAGAAAAATGTCCTGTGATTCCTCTCTTTCTTGTGCAGCACTTCCTCATCTGTGCTGTTTTTCCTTTACTCATTCACTTGATTTTGGTTTCTTTTCCCCTTTTTCTCTGTCACACAACTTCCATTCCAGCCCAAAGCTGAAATCATCACCAGCCCACCCACAAGGTTTCATTAAGAAGGGGCTAAAGATGAGAGAATGTACTCTCTTCGAGCTTGATTTTTTAAATCTATATGAATAAAAATGTAATGTTCATTTGTGGGATTAACATAACTCAAAAACCACTGGATGGATTGACAACAAATTTGGCCACAAGACCCGAGGAGTGACCATCACTCATTAAAAAATGATCTTGTAATGTGGGAGTTGCCGTCCTGGGATTTGTAGTTAACCTACAATCAAAGAGCATTCTAAACTCCACCAATGATGGAACTGAACCAAATGTGGCACACAGAACTCCCATGACCAACAGAAAACACTAGAAGGGTTTGGTGGGCATTGACCTTGAGTTTAGAAGTTGTAGTTCACCTCCATCCAGAGAGCACTGTGGACACAAATAATGATGGATCTGGACCAAACTTGGCACAGATACTCCATATGCCCAAATGTGAACACAGATGGAGTTTGGGGAAAATAGACCTTGAAAATTGGGAGTTGTAGTTACCTACAATTAAAGAGCATTCTGAACCCTACCAACGAACATGAGGAAGAACTTCTTGACTGTGAGAGCCATTCAGCAGTGGAACTCTCTGCCCCGGACTGTGGTGGAGGCTCCTTCTTTGGAAGCTTTTAAACAGAGGCTGGATGGCCATCTGTCAGGGGTGATTTGAATGCAATATTCCTGCTTCTTGGCAGGGGGTTGGACTGGATGGCCCAGGAGGTCTCTTCCAACTCTTTGATTCTATGATTCTATGATTCTATGAATGACAGAATTGGGGGAACTTCCCACACAGAACCCCCATGACCAACAGAAAATACTTAAGGCCATCGACTCCAACTCCCTTCACCAGGGCAAGAAAATGTAATCAAAGCCCTCCTGACAAAGAGCCATCCAGCCATAGATATAGATAGATATATATGAATCACACACACATAGATATTGTATTATAAATTTGAAAGGGAACCCTAAAGGACAATGATATGTTGCATGTTCCAGAGTAGGCAAACCAGACAATCTCCACATCAACACTGACAAAGACACAGCAAGAAATACTGTTTACTCACAAGCATAAACAAATTATATATATTAGAAACCAACACTTTCGAATTACTTTATTTTCCAGATCACCAGACTGGGCCACAGCAACGTGTGGCAGGGGATGGCTAGTTCTTTTTAAAAATGGAAAGTCAGTTGGCATCTCAGTATCAGATTATTTTCTAGAATCAGGTTCTTCAAAAACAGAGGATAATTCCCTTCCTTATAACCATATATTGTATTTATTCAAATTTAATGCTCACCTTCCCAAAATTAGGGTATGCATTAGGGTATGTAATATGGAAATCTTAGTGCTGAGCCAAAGCAAAAAGGGGAAGCTACTTCAGGAGCACCTGGAGCTCCTATTAAAGTTAAAGTGGATTCATTTTATAGCACCCCAAGGTTTTCTTTTCTATTGCTGAAACCTTTGGTGTTCTCATAGTAGTGTTTTAAAAGAAGACATTATAAGCATGCAACCACTGTAATCTGCAGGTTTTTTTGTCCAAATTATGAAGCGTGCACTTTTTGCCACTGCACATTACATTCACCAGCAATTTTTTTTTGTTATGGGGTTTTGAAAATTGAGGTGTCCATTAGCGTTGATAGTGCATTAGACTCGAGTAAATAGGAGTAATTCTTCACTAATTTCATTTTCAAAGAAAGCAACATGTAATTTTAGAAATAAGTCTCAAATTGCAAATCGTTTACAAAAACTATTTGCAATTTGTGACTTTTTCTACACAAAATTCTTATGTTTGCTTTTTATTGTGTTGTTATTTTGCACAGAGAACAGCTTTTTCAGAATAGAAAATAATATTTCTCTAAAGATTTTTGCGCATGCAAGAAATGTTCTTTCCTGTGTAGAAAATGCTGCAGTGAAGACTTACTCTGAGCAAAACTCACACATGGAGTTTGGTTTTGGGTAGAGAAAACATCATTTTCTACAAAGAAAATAATATTTCTGCACAAAATACATTATTTTCAGCATGGAATATGCTATTCTCTAGATTGAAAATGTTATTCTCCTTTGGGGGTTAAAACACATTTATTTTTTTGTAGAATAAAGTCTGACCTGCAAAAATCTTGTAAATCCTGGATTTTTCTTGAGAATTGAGAAACATATTTTTAACAGTGCATGACTACAATATTTTCTCCATCAGAATAATGTGAGATTTGCTTTTTAAAAAACTGCCAGCATTTAGGCCATCAGTGAATGAAGTGTGGTTGTGGACCACAAGAGGACCCAAAACACCCTGAATTCCCCTCAAACACCAGAAAATGTTTTTCTTTTGAAATTTGTTTCCCAGTCTTGCATATCTACATCAGTTGTGGTTTTCTGTATAAATAGTTCTTAGCGCCCGCCGAACCTTTTACCCAGAATTTCAGCAACAACAACGAATAAACAAAAACCAGAAGCTGCTTTCAGACCTTTCTGATTTGGATTTTTTAAGAAATGCATTTCCAGGCTGGACATGCTCTATGGGTGTTCTTGAGTGTGAAAATTGGCACCCAGGTCATCTGATTTAAGCATCAGACACAAACACACCATGGCAAGGGAATCAGTTCTCTATGCAAAACAAACAAACAAAAATGAACAACCCTGAAATTATCTGAAATCTAGCCAGGCTCTGAATGAATCTGTCTAGAAAATCACCACATTCACTGGTGGGAGACCAAATCCAGAGATGCTTGCTTGCTTTACCTTGCAGGATCTGTTTGATGGCATCTGCCCTGCGATTCACCCCAATCTTCTCCCATTGTTCTGTGGTGTCAAGGTAGTGGGTGGCAATAACCGATGGTGTCATGGTGATCATGTTCTGCTCTCCACAGCCGGCTGGTGTTATGATGAGATGTTTCAAATTGCTTCCATCAATGGTCTCTTCAACCATTTGAGCCACAGGGTCTCCTATCCACACACACAAAACTCATGTTAATCTCCGAGGACAGCCTTGGGAACTTTGTGGATTGAACCTTCCTGAATCTCTCTTCTCCTACCCTGGAAAAAAGTCACTCACAGGACAGCAAAAGCTGGTATAATTTCAGTTTTCAGACCTAATGTGAGTCTACTGTCTCTTGTTATACAGGATACAGCCATTTCCCAATGAGATATTGTGACTTCTGTGTCAGAAGGATGAAGAAACTGATCTCAGTTTCAATTTAAACTTTAAAGGAGCTGTCTATGGTGCTGAACATAGGCTTTTGGATCACTTCAAACAGAATTATTGCCTCACTGCTCTGGAAACCTGATGGGAATTGTTTTGTACATGCTTATGCTTGCTGAAATCAAGCCTGAGATTAAACCCTGATATATGGCTAAAAGTGTACTGGGTGCATTCCTGCTGCTGTTGGGTTCCAGCAAGGGATTGGGTTGGAAGGGATTCTGACCCTGTTCATTTTTACAGTCCTAAAGTTCGGTATTAAATCAAGTTCTTGCCTTGAATGCTAATTTTCGTTTCAACTTCAGTTCTAGGAACAATATCATCTAAACGACGAGCTTTCACCAGCTCAGTCTGCTCTCCATCTGGGGAAAGAAAAAGACAAAAAAGGAGGAAATTTACCAAGAAATACCAGTATATGTTACCCACATTCAAGCCCTTTGGCATTTTTTTTACAATGAACTCCAAGTGGAATTAAAATTTATTTATTTTATTTATTTGCATTATTTCTACCCTGCTCATATCAGCCCGTAGGTGACTCAGAGCGGCTCACAAAGATTTGTATTCCAAAGCAAAGATATATTCACCTCCCATTCAGTATACATAGTACAGTAGCTTCAATCATGTTGGTAATAATAACTAGATCCATTGAAGCAATAGATAAACTCAGTTGATTCAATAGGTCAGTTGGTGCTTAGACTCCCAATATATCTGTACCCAGATTACTGATGTTTACATACATGAAGAGGCCAGTGTAGTGTAGACCTTGTGAATTGGACAATGAATCCAGGGACAAAACACATTATCACACCAGTGTTTTCAAGTTTAAACTACTAAAGAGATCATCCACAGCAGTCTCAGCTCTGTATCCCGTTCTAAAGCTGATTTGAAATGGGCTAAGGACGAGTGTGTCATCAAAGACTGCCTGGAGTTGGAGAGTTGGAGGGCAACTGTCTTCTCTTTGTGGTAGGAGGCAGAATGCCCCTTTGCTCATGGATGGAAAGAAGATGAGGAAGTAGCACATGGCACACATAACACACAGAAGCAAAGAAGGAAGGAAGGAAGGAAGGAAGGAAGGAAGGAAGGAAGGAAGGAAGGAAGGAAGGAAGGAAGGAAGGAAGGCCCCCAGAAAGTCAATGAGACAGAAAGGAATACAACATACTACCCTCCTCCATGAGCAAAGGGGCATTCTGCCTCCTACCACAAATTGTGTAACCATATCATTTTAAAGCTGAAAATGGTGAATATCATCACATGACAGAATTGGCCATTTTGCCCTTCTCCATCTGTACAATTTGCAAAAAAATCACTTACCAACCAGCTTAGAAAGCGTGTGAAAAGATATTTATTTACTGGGTAATGGGTATGCATGTATGCAGTGTTTAGAGCCGTGATGGCGAACCTATGACACGCGTGTCAGTACTGACACGCGTAGCCATTTCTATTGACACGCGCCCGCCGGATATTATTTGTTTATTTATTTTATGCCATTTAAAAAATAAATAGGAAAGAAATTATTATTTTGCAATGTTACCTAAATATTAAGGAGTTTCATATTTAAACTGAATGATAAATACTATTACTTTGCTATATTACTCAAATAAATATGTAACTCCTGAATATTTAGGAAACATTGCAAAAATATTTAATTATTATTAATATTTAGGTAACATTGCAAAATAATATTGGTTTATTTAATTATTAAGTAAACGAATATTATTTTGCATTGGTTCCTAAATATTAAGGAGTTATATTTAAATTAAATTAAATGATAAATAATACTTTGCTATATTACTCAAATATTTCAGAATGCCTTAAATGAAATGGTAAATTGAATTTTAATTTGACATTTAATTTAATGCATTTTAATTTAGTGCATTTTAAATATTTTTAATATATGCCTATATATATATATATATATATATATATATATATATGCCTTAAATGAAATGGTAAATTAAATATCAAAATATTATTTTGCAATGTTACTTTATTGTTATTGCATTATTATTATTATTATTATTATTAGAAATACATTAAATAGCATATTAAATGCTAGAAATACATTTAAATTAAATTAAAAATAAATAATATTTTGTTGGGTTTTTAAAATTATATTTTTATTAAACACTCCAAAAAGGATATTATTTACATAAAGAGAGGTAGAACAACATGATAAGAGAGAAAGTGGGAATTACAATTATATATTTTTTGTTATTTAAACTAAATATTGCGAAATTATGGGTTTTTTCTTGAAGTGACACACCATCTGAATTATGCTCAGTTTTTTGGTGAATTTTGACACACCACGCTCAAAAGGTTGCCCATCACTGGTTTAGAGGGCAGTATACAGATAGAAAATATAAGCTCCTGGCAGACAAAGTGAGAGATAAAACAGCCATAAAGGTCACAATGAGGACACCCACCCACAAGGAGGCCAGCAATTTAATGAAGACTTATATTTTGGAAGGTGTGTGTGTGTTACCTTGGTCTGAGGCTGAGAGACTGTGATGGCCAAGAAAATGCTGGATGAAGAAAAACAAATGAAAGAGGGGAAGTCACAGGGGAAGGGAAGGAAAAAAAAGACAAAAAAGGGATGAGAAAGGAAAGAATGAAAAGGTAGGAAACAGTGAGGAAAGAAAGAAAAAGAATGAAAGAGAAAGGAAAGAAGGCAAAGGAAAGGAAGAAAAAAGGGGGGAGAAAGTGTATGAGGAACGACAAGGAAAGAAGGAAAGAAAAGAACTGTAGAAGGAAAGGGGGGGGGGGGGGAAGAAAGAGCCACAAAGAAAATGCAAACCTGAGCAGCAAGGAAAATACGGCAATCAAGACAACATTTTCTTCATAACTAGCTTATGTACCCGGCATTCCCCAGGTATGCATTTTCTAATGCAATTTATTAGAAACACTCATTGTTAGGTTTATGATTTCATCACTGGAACTAGAGCAAGATACAAATGCTGTGTGACTCAAGGCTGAGAGGGAGAGCTTCAGGCCCAGCCATGGATATCAGCATAGAAAGTGCCAAAATATATTTTAAAAGGGCAAACAATGACAAAAAAATATTTGTAGCGTTGCCTCTCCCTTCCTCTGAGACTGAAAGAGTATGATTCATGGTAAAAAGGCACCCTCTCTGAGGCTGAGAGAGTGTGACTGTCAAGACAACCATTTATTAGTAACTAGCTTATGTATCCCACATGAACCAGGTATGCATTTTCTAATACTATTTATTAGAAATATTGTTAGACTTACAATCGTATTATTTGTCTCATTAGAAAATGTATACCCTCTCAATGCCAGTATGACTATAAAACTCTGAAAAATAAATACAATGATGTGGAAAGTTTTTTTTTGACACCCCCCCCCCCAACTCTCTAGGCACGTGATTTTTACATGCCAGGAGAGCTGGCCGAGACTCCTAATGGCCACCACATAAGTTTTTATTACTTTTCTAAGGGGTCTGGGGGCTTGGGGGGTGGGGTGGGAATTCCCACAGTTTACCGGCCTTATTTAGCATAAAATAAATCCACTATCAAATTAATTTTCTACAAACCAGGGTTTTCCTGGTTTGTAGCGAATCAATTCAGGACTGTCCAAAACATTGTCTCAACCTGCAATCATCTTCATCTATTTACATGCCTTCTAGTCTGCACGCAGCCATCTTCCTGAACAGAAATAATTCCTATCATTATTTTATCCAGACACACTGAGATCTTCTTTGTCCGGAAAAATTGAAAAAAGATGGATGAATGGTTCACAGGACTCAAGATTTTATTTTTTTTTAAAAAAGATAACACAGCTGAATAATGGTTTTTACTCACCTTTTCCTTTTTTAGAGGGTTCCAATTCAATAGTGCTCACAAGTGATTGCCGTATCCCTTCAGGCTGGCAAGAAAGAAAGTCCAAAAATCACTGAGAATGTCTCACTTTGTTAAATTACAACTACCATGATTCTAGAACATTAAGCCATGAAAGCTATCATGTAGTGTTCTTGGCAAAAATTATTAAGAAGTGCCTTGTTCTTGGGAAGATTGTTTAGACCAGAAGCTCCCCCCCCCCTTTTTTTTTTTTTGACCAGGGACCACTCTCCGATATTAGTACCAGTATTAGTTTTTGGTCAAGTTTAGATTCAGTTTGGTTATTTGGGGTGCTGATTCAGAAAATTGCATAGGATAGAACACATCAGCTCTAGCTTCTGATACAGAACATATGCCATCCAGTAGTCGCCACCTGCTCGCCCATAGAAAATCATATTTAATAAGCGTCGGCACTATAAGAGGGTTTTGCGAGACCAGTCACTCTCATTGCAATGGTGCACTCAGGCTGCATCAAAGCATAGTTTGATACCATTTTAAGTGGCATGGCTCAATGCTATGCAAACATGGGAGCTGTTGTTTGGCAAGGTCTCATAAATTAGTTAATTTAGCCTCCCCACACTTTAAGGTGGTATCTAATTTGCCTACTTGACAGATGCAACTGTCTTTCGGGTTGCAAAGGTCAACAACAGGCTACACACAATTGGTTGGAAACCCACTCCAATCCGGGCTGGCTTCGAACTCATGACCTTTTGGTCAGAGTGATCTTAATGCAGCTGACACTTAGCCAGCTGCGCCACAATCCCAGTAATAAGACATTTTTATTGTTCCTTTGCATTCCAGTGTGCCATAAGGACAAACAGGAGAAGTATTGTCGAAGGCTTTCATGGCTGGAATCACTAGGTTCTTGTGGGTTTTTTCGGGCTATAGAGCCATGTTCTAGAGGCATTTCTCCTGACGTTTCGCCTGCATCTATGGCAAGCATCCTCAGAGGTAGTGAGGAGAAGCTTTGCCCAACCTGGCATATGTTTTGTGCCACAATGATAACACACCCGCCCATGTTACTCCTTCAGCCTTAGGCTGCCTGAAGGACAAGACCGTCCTGGACACAACCTCTCTTTCTGCTGATTTAATGGGAGGGTCTAGTGCAACACCTACCACAACCCGGAGCTTCTTCTTCACTCCATCAGACACCACCACATTCCAGACAGCCGCTTTGACTTCGACGTCATGGAATCCCAGTTCGAGTGGGACCAAGACAAATGGGATTGCCACAGAGGACTGTTTCCTAATATTGACATTGTGCCTGTAGCGCTGCTTGGCAGTGGAAGCACTGCAGAAGGCTGGGTTGTGAATCAGCTCCACTCGTACCTGGAGACAAAAGACAGAAGGAAAAGATCTTCGAACACAATGTAAGAATCATGACCAAGGGAGAAGGCAGTTCCTCCCTTTGGATCAACACCATGGCTGTTTTGCTTTCCCTCAAGCAGCTACCTAACTTAGATTCCGTTCCAGCCTCCACATTTAGCTCTATGTCTATTCAAGTGGTGAAGTCACATTCAGCCTCTCAGGTACGTAAAAATGAGCGCCATGAGTCCCTTTGAGGAGATAGAGTGGAATACAAATACATCACCATCATCATCATCATCAGAAACACAACAACAGGCACTCTGCTGGCTGTTGAATTGGATCACACGTCGGACACTTCCCAAGTGTCTAGGACTGTGTGATGTATCGACAAATAACCACAATCCCAGTTTGTGCACTAGGTTGATTGGGCAGGACATTGTTTAGCCAATGCACGAATCCATTCATGGGGTTCAGTCCCTATGAAGACCAAAGTGTTACAATGGGACTGCAGCCAATAAAGATATGTTGTTTCTTCTCAGTGCTTGTGTTCTCTCTATTTCTCCCTGCTTCCCCTCCCCCCCCCCCAACCTTACTTGCTCCTTACTATTAGAGGTTACAAAGATCTGTCCAGATTTCAAAGCCTACCTTGATATCACTCATTCCATAGTTGTAGAGGATAGCCCGAACTTCCACCTGCTCATTCCTGACTACTGAGTAAGGCAGCCTTAGGTCAATGAAGAAGTCCTGCATGACCGTTATTTCATAAGGATCAGCCACACAGATGCCTGTAAGGAAAATCAAAGGATCAAAAGCATTCATACATGGGGCCTCTGTCTTGTAAGCATTTCTTAGGGTTTGCAAGGTATGCTCGTTGCAGCCTAGCATAATAGTTCACTCTTGGGACCACCTAGGATGCTTTATTTATTTATTTACCATATTTATATACTGCCCCTCTCAACCCGGAGGCGACTTGAGGTGGTTTACAGTTGGCAGTCCATACCCCCAAACAACATAAATACAGTTTAAAACATTACATAAAATATAAACCAAATAAAAGCAATAAAACAATAAAAACCATAAAACACAAGTCCTCAGCATCTCATCAGTAGAATCGTTTTTCTGTCGCATCGTACAATCGTTTTGTAGATCTAAATTAGTCTGTCACACTGTATCTGCAAATGCCTGCTCAAACAGCCAGGTTTTGACTCTCTTTTAAAATGTTAGAAGGGAGGGAGCCGATCTAATATTCCTAGGGAGGCTGTTCCATAGCCGAGGGGCCACCGCTGAGAAGGCCCTGTCTCTCATTCCCACCAATCGCATCTGTGAAGAGGCTGGACCAAGAGCAGGGCCTCGCCAGACGATCTTAAGCACCTAGATGGTTCATAGGGAGAGTTGCGTTTGGATAGGTAAGCTGGGCCAGACCCATTTAGAGCTTTAAAGGCTAAAGCCAGCACTTTGAATTGTGCTCGGTAGCAAACAAGCAACTAGTGGAGCTGGAGCAACAAAGGAGTTCTGTGTTCCCTGAGTGCCGCTCCTGTTAACAACCTGGCTGCTGCCCGTTGGACTATTTGAAGCTTCTGAACAGTCTTCAAAGGCAGCCCCACGTAGAGCGCATTGCAGTAGCCTATTTGGGATGTAACCAGAGCATGAGCTACCGTGGCTTTACCTTTTGTTTCTGAAATGCTCACAGCCAACACCTCCCAGGTTGTGATGGAATCCTTCAGGTAAAAAGACACTATCTTGGATGAGATCCTAAGTACAAGAAGAAAGATAAGCATGTCATATTTGAAAGCAGTGGTTACAGTATGCAAAGTAAGTGGGAAGTAGATGTGCTCATTATATGGGCAACTTCTCTATGTGCTTATTTGGAGACTTTCTTTTTATTCCTGCCAGTGGACAGCAGTGAAATGGAGTGGCAATGGGAAACACTTAACACACCAGCACATAGGTAAACTTCCCCAGGCACCCCCCCCCCCCAAAAAAAAAGTATCCACACATTAAAGATGGGTGGCAGCAGCTGTATTTGTGTTTTTTGTTTCCAGACACAGCTACAACCACAGCAGAACATCCAGTTCCAGTAAAATTAAAGAAGAACCTTAATTTGTTTCATTCATTGTTACTACAGTTCACTGACTTTTAAGGGGATCCATGTCTATTCTCCAATAAAAAAATGGTTAAGATGAACTACTGAATTTTAAAAAAATCCCTGTATACATAAACTCTTCTCATTCAGAGTCTACTGCTTACTGAGCAGTCAAAAAAAAAAAAAAGAGTAGATAGTTCCAGCATCAATGTGAGTTAAAGCTTCTTCCTCACATAGAGATGAAGGAAACATATTGAGGGGTGTTGGCCATATAGTAAAATACAATACCACAAATCCACAAAATAGCAATATCTTTATTCGGCAAACCAAAATACATCATGCAAGCTATCAAAGCACTACTGGTTTCTTCATGAGGCAAGCAATGTTATTGCATGGATTTTATAACTTTGAGACTTTTTTGTGTCAGGAGCAACTTGAGAAACTGCAAGTCGCTTCTGGTGTGAAAGAATTGGCCGTCTGCAAAGACATTGCCCAGAGGACGCCCGGGTGGTTTTCCATCCTGTGGGAGGTTTCTCCCATGTCCCTGCATGAGAAGCTGGAGCTGACAGAGGGGAGCTTACCCCGCTCCCTGGATTCGAACCTCCGACCTTTTGGTCAGCAGTCCTGCCGGCACAAGAGTTTAACCCATTGCGCCATTGGGGGCTCCAACTTTCAGACTAAATCAGCATGAGGCCTAATCCCCAGCTCCAGTGCACAATGTCCTGCTCTGGTTTGACCTCATTAAAGTCATACTCACCTATTTCAGTTCTTGTAATTTCCTATTCTATTCATCATTTCAATATCTCCCTTCCAGTTTTCCTTTAATTTAAATTGATCTTACTATATTTCAACATTTTGTTTCTTTTTTTTTCTCGTGTCAGGAGTGACTTGAGAAACTGCAAGTCGCTTCTGGTGTGAGAGAATTGGCCGTCTGCAAGGACGTTGTCCAGGGGAGGCCCAGATGTTTTGATATTTTATCATCCTTGTGGGAGGCTTCTCTCATGTCCCCACATGAGGAGCTGGAGCTGATAGAGGGAGTTCATCCGTGGTCTCCCCGGATTCGAACCTGCTACCTGTTGGTCTTCAGTCCTGCCGGCACAGAGGTTTAACCCACTGTGCCACTGGGGGCTCCTAGTTTGTTTCTATATAATATATTATTATTTCCTACCCTTACAGTATACAAATACTGTAAATAAATAAATAAATAAATTTCCCCATGCAGGAATCTGCCAGATCTTGAAGCTGCAAGGCTTTGCATAGCTAATCAAGGTGATTAATTGCAACATTCACACTTGCCTCCAACAGGCAAGAGTTCTTTCTCCCACCTTGGACCTTTCATAGATATATAAACCTCCGTTGCCTAGTTTCCAACAGACCTGACAACCTCTGAGGATGCCTGCCATAGATGTGGGTGAAACGTCAGGAGAGAATGCTTCTGGAACATAGCCATACAGCCTGGACAACTCACAGCAACCTAGTGATTCCTGCCATGAAAAGCCTTTGACAACACATTGTAGCAACACTCTCAGTGGTCCATAGCCAAAACTGATTTTGTATCCCTGGGTGAGTTCTGTAGTTGAATTCAATTTGCCTCTAGACTGAAAGGTAGGCTGCTAAAGAAAGATCTAGAACAGCAATACCCTTCATGGTTAGGAGCTTCTGTCAGGACTTTTGTTTCCCATAGCCAACTCTCTGGAAATTCAGTCCTGGAGACAATCTCATCCTCATCCATGATAAATTCGTCATTGTCACCTAGGAAAACATGATACAGATATGGTTGTGATTATCCTGGTATTGGGATTTTTCCTTTAGTGTGTGATATGGATTCAAAAATTGATTTTTTTGGGGGACTATCTTGTGCAAAGAATAAAGTTGTGGTTTAGGGGGAAAATGGACATTACTGTACTATGCTTTGGCAACCACTGTTTATGATCTTTATGGTGTCCATATTATCTGCAACCATAGGTTGATATAGATAGACTGTAACAGAATAACTGAGGTTCATAATTCATAAATTCACTGATAAACAGACATTGCCACGAACACAATGGTTTCACCTTTTCACAAAGGCAGACCCACCCTTAAACAATGTCCTTAGACCCGTGATGGTGAACCTATGACATCCGTGTCAGCACTGACACGCATGGCTATTTTTGCTGACACATGCGGCCGCATACAGAGAAGTACACCTTATAAGAGCCAATCTAATTCCATCCTTAAATTTGTAAAAGGCTCTACAAGTTTAACATCTAAACGTTTGAGCATTGTTCACTCCATAACTCAGCATGGAATATACATTTTTCTTATTTAAACTATAAATATTGCAAAATTATGGGGTTTTTTTCTCGAAGTTGACACCCCACCCAAGTTATGCTCAGGTTTTTGGCAAATTTTGACACACCAAGCTCAAAAGGTTGCCCATCACTGCCTTAGACAATGCTCATAGAGAACAGAGAAATAGTTTCTCATTTTAACCATCTCAGAATACTCTTCTGCATGTCTATATAAGGCCTTAACCAAGATCCTGCTCACCTCAAATCCCTCGCTCTATCTCCATAATCTGATCCCATATATACATCATGGAAAACAACCATTTTTAGTCATTTTCAAAAAGAGATGATCATTTTCCATTCCTATTTTACATGCCGACATGATACCATCTTGCAGATAATTTTGCAAAGAAAAAAAAATGAAGTTCTACTTGCTTCTTGCCAGTTGCAGTTCTTTCTCTCGTTGATTCTGATCCCGTATGTCTTTGATAAAATTGCAACATTCAAGGAAAACAGTCTTGCACTCCTTTTGATCGTCTATATATTCAGCACGCTTTTCACAGCTGTAACCCATGGGATTTTCAAACATGCCATCTTCACAGCATTTTCTCAGTCTCTTGTCAGGATACTGGGCCGCTGAAATATGTAACTTTGATTAAACATCAGAAAACGTTCCCTTAATTTCCCCCCCAGAAAACTTTGAGACACCAGAAGTAGTGGGTTTATACCACGCCTTCCAAGAAGGCGTAGAATAAACCCACTATCAAATTAACTCACCACAAACCAGGATTTTCCAGAATGTTGACTGGACAGCCCCATTTTTATTGTGGAAGTTTTTGCAGTAAAGGGCTGTCTAGATCTGCCCCCAGTTCAAAACAGATATTCTGGGATTTTCTGCCTTGATATTCTGGGTTATATGGCTATGTGGAAGTGCACCTAAAAATCCTAGAGAGATAGTTTCTCTAGAAATCTCATGGTCCTCCAGTGTAACTCTGTGTTCATCTTCTGGCAGAAACTGACCAGAGAGCCATGATGGAGGACCTCAAGATTCTGTGAGAACATTTCAAATCAAATCCATGAATAATGAAGTTGCATAAACCAGACACACAAATGTAGAGGGCAGTTGTATATTGGGCTATAAGGTAAAGGTTTTCCTCTGACATGAAGTCCAGTTGTGTCCAATTCTGGGGTATGGTGCTCATCTCCATTTCTAAGCTGAAGAGCCGGCGTTGTCCGTAGACACCTCCAAAGTCATGTGGCCGGCATGACTGCATGGAGCACCCTTACCTTCCCGCCGCAGCGGTACCTATTGATCTACTCACATTTTGCATGTTTTCCAACTGCTAGGTTGGCAGAAGCTGGGGCTGATAGCGGAAGATCACGCCGCTCCCCAGATTTGAACCTGCGACCTTTTGGTCAGCTCAGCACTTTAACCCACTGTGCCACCAAGGGAGGGGGGTGTCCCATATTGGGCTATATGGGCTATACCTCAAAGAATTTCGTGTAAACACAGTTACTGACCATGCTGCCTGGGCAAAATATTTATTTATTAATTTTTTACCCCGATCTTCTCTACTTCTACAGAGGGACTCAGACTGGCTAACAGCAAAGATTCAATACTAACACTGAAAATCTAAAGCATAATACACAACATTAAATTACCAATTACACTACATAAATTACATAAAATTACATAAGGGAACTTATGTAGACTGCATTGCAGTAATCTATTCGGGATGTAACAACAGCATGGATTATCTCCAGTCCAGCCACATGAGGCCCCTTCCACCCAGCTGTATAAAATCCCATATTATTTGCTTTGAACTGGGTTATATGGTAGTGTGGACTCAGATAACCCAGTTCAAAACAGATACTGTGGATTATCTGCCTTGATATTCTGGGTTATATGGCTGTGTGGAAGGGCCCTAAGAATCATCCCATCCCCAGAGAGCAACATGATACAGAATCTGGGAAATGAGCTTTCTCTGGAATATTTTCAGTACTGGGACAACCAGGTTCCCCTGCAGCATTGAAAAAAATATATATCTAAGGATTGCTCCACTAGTTCTTAAGGCTACTGCTCTACATGCTTCTATATTTCACACTAGCCGTCCCCTGCCACGCGTTGCTGTGGCCCACATGGGGGTTGTGTGTGGGAGGTTTGGCCCAATGCTATCGCTGCTGGTGTTCAGAATGCTCTGTGATTGTAGGTGAACTACAAATCCCCGCAACTACAACTCCCAAATGTCAAGATTCAATTTTCCCCAAACTCAACCAGTGTGTGAACATCTGGGCATATTAAGTATTCATGTAGAGTTTGGTCCAGATCCATCACTGTTTGAGTCCACAGTGATCTCTGGATGTAGGTGAACTACAACTCCAAAAATCAAAGGACACTGCCCACCAAACCCTTCCAGTATTTTCTGTTGGTCATGGGAGAACTGTGTGCCAAGTTTGGTTCAATTCTATTGTTGGTGGGGTTCAGAATGCTCTTTGATTGAAGGTGAACTATAAATCCCAGCAACTACAACTCCCAAGTGACAAAATCATTTTTTTAGTGAAGGACATACGTTGGATTGTTAGGTGTCTTGTGTCCAAATTTGGTGTCAATTCGTCCAGTGGTTTTTGAGTTCTGTTAATCCCACAAAAGAACATTACATTTTTATTTATATAGATTTTACAGAAAGGCTTTCTGTAAAATGGATGGCCAGGAGTTCCATGTCTGCAGTCACTGGCCATGTTGTCTGGGGGTTATTGGGAGTTGTAGTGTGACAAAAAAGTTTCCCAATCACTGTTTCTATACCATCCAATCTTGAAATTATAGGGAATGTGTCAGGCCGCCTGTCCATCTAAGTCTGGCATTGCCCTCTATGGCTGGAAGCTCCTTCCCAAGATCTTAGACACAGGTCTTTCCCATTTTTGCAACTTGAGATCCTTCTAAGGACTAGACCTAGGCCACCAGTCTATGTCACCCATCTGATCAGCACAGTGACCTGATATTCTCTGGAGAACCCAAGGAATGTCACTTAGCAATGTCCTCATATGCTGAGTCAGATAGCTAACCCATCACTTGTGACTTGAATATCCTTCTATCCTATTGCATATTTTGCAACATGATTCATTCAAGCTGAAACACCCAAGTTTGCTGAGGTTTTTGTCACTTGTCACATACCTTTGCCTGTTTTAGACTCCAGGAGTTGTATGGAGCGACGGCGTCTCCTCTTTGCAACTTGGAGGCACTTCAGATCTGAATGGGTGGGAGAGTTAAAAAGAAGATATTATTGACCTGACATTAAATAAGAAAACAGTACTAAATTCTACGATCTCGTGCATGTTTCAACTGTTCCTATGCAGATTTGTTAAGAGATGAACATGGTTTACTCCCATAACAGAACAGGCATGTAACTTTAAGCCTTTTCATGATACGTGTCCATCTGTTACTCTCTTGATGGCAGCAAACGCAATCCAACAGAATTTACACTGGGTGCTGGTTGGGGCAGGTATGGGGTAACCAGTGTGAAGCCATGTTTAATCTAATATTTCTCTGATCTAGATAATCAAAACTGCAGCAAAGCAGCCAGCAATGAAAACCATCATGCCAACATCTTAAATCAAGAAACAGCTTCGTAAGATCTACAGAGATAGTAGGAACACCTCAACAAGCAAGAGTCCAAAAGTGGCAGGCAAAAACCTGGAACCTCAATCAGTGGCTGATACTGGATGAGAAACTTCCTCCAGGACATACAGAAGGTTGGGTGACTTGGACTGCACTCTGGGACCATGAGATCCAGGGCCAATGTTAAGAAATGGGGCCACAAAGTGGAGTTCACAATATGTGAGTGTGGAGAAGAGCAAACCACAGACCACCTACTACAATGCAATCTGAGCTCTGCCACATACACAATGAAGTACCTTCCTGCAGTGACACCAGAGGCACTTGAAGTGGCCAGCTTCCCGTCAAAGGAAATTTTGTATAATGCCAAGTTTTTAACTTTGTTTGTAGTTTTGATAAAAATATTATAACTGTATTTTCAATTCACTTCTGACATGATAAATCCAAATCAAAACTGCTTTTGGGGGGTGTACACCTACACTTTGGAATTCATTCACTTTGACAGTGTTTAAACAGTCAGGGCTCAATGCTATGGAATCAGTCTGTGATTGTGTCTGATGCTAATGATGTAAATGATGCTCATGATGATGTTCATGTTGATGTGTATAATAGGAATTGAGATGATGTTCCTGATGATGGTCCTGAGGATGCAGGTTTGCCTGGGCTGGTTAAATTCAGAAGAGAGGCCTGAGCAAAGTCACATTCCTGAGAAAGACCTTTCACCGCTTTTCTCAGAGCAGCAGCCTGAAAATGATGACGAGACTGCTTTGCCAGGTACAGAAGGAGATGATAGTGAAACCATGGACAGAAAACAAAGTTTTAGTAAACAGAGGCAGAACTTTCAGAATGTCAGGCGTTATAGGGAATGTGCCATGGCAATTAAAATGGTGTCAAACTACATTAGTTGCACAGTCTAGAGTCACCTGTAGGAATGCATTGTTTTATTAGCCTTTGTTGAGTAGCAAGATGCATAGGCATGCTAACATAGTGGAAGATATGGTGGAAGACCAAACTTTTTCTGGAAAGAGAGAAAGTGGGGGCGGGGGATGAATTTATTCTCCTGGAAGCTTTCAGGTGCAATAATCTTTAAAAGTTGAAATGCATCCAAGTACTAGCTGAAAATTTTAAATTAAGGATTTTTGAGAACCAGAAGCAGATTTCTAGTCTCTGGCAGTTTTATTTTTCAGTAGTCCAGATTTTTATTATTATTATTATTATTATTATTATTATTATTATTATTGGTATCAGAAGTGACTTGAGACTTCAAGTCGCTTCTGGTGTGAGAGAATTGGCCACCTGCAAGGACGTTGCCCAGGGGACGCCCGGATGTTTTTGATGTTTTACCATCCTTGTGGGAGGCTTCTCTTATGTCCCTGCATGGGGAGCTGGAGCTGACAGAGGGAGCTCAGCAATGCTCTTCCTGGATTAGAACCTACGACCTGTCGGTCTTCAGTCCTGCCGGCATAAGGGTTTAATTCATTGCACCACCAGGGACTCCTGTAGTCAAGATGATCCCAGGGTAAAAAAACGGCCCTCCATAGCTGCCCCAGTTGTCCATCCAAATGAATACATTAAATAATCCTAAATCATAGAGTTACAAAGGGCCTCATGGGCCATCGAGTGCAATCCCCTGCTCAGTATAGGTCTCCAGTTAAAGCAGCACCAGGAGAGCTGTACAGTTTATTTTTGAAGACGTCCAGAGAATGATACTCTACCACTTCCCTTGGTAATCAATTCCTTTGCCGAACTACTTTTCCTGTCAATAACTTCCTTCTAATGTTCAATTAAAATCTATTCTCATGTACTTTCAAATTCTACCCTCTGCAGCAATAGGGTACAGGCTTGCCACCTCCTGTGAGAAGTTTTAAAGAGTGCAGTCAAGCCATCTTTCAATCTGCTCTTCACCAAGTTGAAGATGCACAGCTCTTTCAACCTGTCCCATGTGTTTTGTTCTCTGGACTCCTAATAATCCTTTTTACCCTTTTCTGAACTTGCTCCAGCTAATTAGGCACCGGGAACAGAACACAGAACTCCAGGTGAAGCATGATTGCAATTATTAGTATTAGTGTCAATGCATTAATTTTCTTGATGTTTAATATTGAATATTATCTCATTAATTTTCAAACATTTCATGCTGTGGACATGTCCCAATCCTACCTGATCTCTGTTTTGTGGAAAGCTTGTTGCTGGTCTCCAGGGCCAACCCAGCATCTTCAAACACACCCACATTGTTCCTACCACTGCCAGCAGTACAGCCAATGTCACTCTTTTCTACTGTGTCCCAGATCTGGAAGAGAATAGGCTCCATGAAACAATGTACAGACTTAGCAAATTCCAAGTCAGGAAAATCTTCAACATTGTGAGTGTCAAATTCCATGGAGTCCTGGGCCTTACCTTAGTCTGACTTATCTTATTCTTTTTGTTCAGGACATAGACGGCTTTGTCCACAGCTACAAGGCCAACCCGAGCATTTGGATCCCCTTCTACTTTGATTTTCATTGCATCTCCTGGTTTGCGAATTTGATTGTCAGCCTTAGTTGCTCCTTTCACAACTAACTGTTTGGGGGAAAGCAACGAAAACATGGAAAATTGATTGGTGTACTTTGACAAAAGTGTACGTTTCCTGTGATCAGCTTTTCAATAAGTTGCAAAATGGTCTTAAAGTCCCCTACCCAACTTCCTTCTCTCAAAGCCAAACATTGTGACAAAATACTTTCCTCAGTACAGATTGTTTAATCTACAATCTACAATGGAGAACAGACACACTGTTTCAGAAATGGCAGAGTCTGTACACTTGTGCTCCAGTATTGCTAAGAGAGGTCCTTGCACTGACATTGATAAATAGTATCAGCAGAAAGGGTGGCCTACCGTTCCCATGCAGGTATCCTTCACATCCACCCAGACAGAGTCAGCCACAATCTCACTATTCTTCACTAGGTAGTAGTAAGCCACAATTCGGAAGGAAGGGATGAGAATTGGGGTGATGGGTAGAGATATAGTCACTAGATTCTGCCCGGCAGATCTGGGTTGCCTCCCAACCTTGACTATTTTCCCTTTACTCAAGATCTGAGGATAAAAAGACATATTAATTAAGAAGGTTGAGGTTTGGTTTTAAAAAAGAGACTGACAAGGATAAGAAAAAGGCATTGACATCACATATACACTATAAGCAAAATATTTATTTATTTGTTTGTTTGTTTAATAATTCAAGCTTATATGCCGCCACTCCCCTGGGGCTCGGAGTGGATTACAAGAACAGGCTAAAATCTAACACAATTTCAAAACAATTTAAAACAATTTAAAAACAACAATATCAGAGATCAAAGGCCTGTCGAAACAGATATGTCTTACATGCCCTGCGGAAAGCTGATAGGTCCTGCAAGGCACGGACTTCAGGTGGCAGAGTATTCCAGAGTGATGGTGTCACTGCTGTAAAGGCTCTGCGTCTGGTTGCTGTTAGACGCAAGGTCTTGACACTGGGAATTTCCAATAGATCTTGGTCCTCAGAATGGAGGGAACTCTGGGGTTGGTAGGGGGGTGAGGCGGTCCTTCAGGTACATCGGTCCTAGACCATGCAAGGCCTTAAAGGTGAGTACCATCACTTTGAAAGTGATACGGTGCTCAATTGGTAACAATGCAGCTGTAGTAAGATTGGTGTTATGTGGCATCTCATCAGAATTCCCGCAAGAACCTGAGCAGCTGCATTTTGTACCAACTTGAGCTTCCGGATCACCAACAGAGGAAGGCTGTAGTGAAATCTACCTTTTAGGCAACCAGGCCGGAGCCTGAGTATCAGTAGCTGTCATCTTGAAAGACAGGCAGAAGCAGGAGGAGGAGTCAAGCTGACTCCTGATTGGTCAGAGCAATTAGGGGAGGAGTCGGTTTAGAGAGGGAAAGAGGCTGTCAGCTTTTGACAGAGGGAGAAGTGTCTTGACATCAGACACAGAAGGAGGGGATTTTTAGGAGAGGAAGCTAGAATAGGGTTCTGACAGAAAGAAGAGTTTTTAAAGTGAGCCTTAAGGATAGGGAATAAGTAGCCGACAAGAGCTAGGGTTTTACTGTGTTGAGAGGACCAGTAAAAGAAAGACTTGTCTTCTTATACTGAGGGAAAGTATAAGATAGCTTATTGCCCTGTGTATGAGACAGACAGGAGTCTGTTCTCCAAGTGATACTGTTTCTAAGAATAGAGCAGTGTGTTTAACGGAACTCACAGTATTAAAAGCTTTACTGTCAGTGAAACTATTTGTTGAAACATCTAAGTCTCTACCACTGAATCAAGTTTCTACACCACTCATTCTATGAGTAGATATTTGTTTAAAGATAAATAAACCTTTTCTAGTTCACTGTTAACCGTTGTCAGCTTCCGTCTGTCCAACACTTTTAAAGTCCAGTCAGCCTGTGAAGAAGCAGTTCCAGAAGAAACAAGGGCAAACACACTTTACCTACAACGCACTCACACCATTTGGTTCCTCACACCAATAAACCAATAAAGCTGAGGTGGTGGCAGTCATATCTACCAAAAACATCGGTCATTGATATATTTAACCTATGGTCAGCTGCTAATTATTTTACACTGGGTGTCGGAGGTGGGATTGAAAAGTCTTCCCCCTTGCCAAAGTCAGAAAGGTCCACGCTTGTACGCTTGACCCTTTATTTTCGTTATACTGGACCATGGACCATGGATTTCCATTGTGCCCAGCTCTATTTCACTTACTATGTAGGTAAAATAACTGATTTCTTTCAATATATTTGGATTGTTGCTTTTTATGTTGAAGTTGACTAGTAAGTTGTCCCCAGCCTTGAGATCTGAAGCTGAGACCGATAAATGAAGATAGTTTCTGTCGCTTCCCTGGGTTTGATATGCTGTAGCCACCATGGTCTTGTTTGCCTGGCGTTCATTTGGCAGTCCTGCTTGGTTAGTTTTTGCCTAGAGAAGGTGAGAAAGATACACAAAATTTCAAAGAAATTTAACTTAACCACTGACCAATCCATAATGCGCCAACAGGGAAGAAAGACATAATAGCCAAGGGAGAAAAAATATAGCAAGTATTTTGTACCTATGTGAAATAGTATGTATCATCAGAACCTACTACCAAGATTCTACCTTTGGGAGGCAAGCATACATGGCCACAAGTGATTGCCTATAGACCATTGGGATGAAAGGACTACTTTCTATTATGAGAACAGCAAATAACGATGACTTCAGTAAATATAAAGGGTAGGATGTCACAGTTGTGGAGAAACTCAACAAAGCAGTAAAGAAGCCCTTTGACAATGGAAACACTTGTGAGTGAATTTGGAATATACTTCAAAAAGGCTGAAAATACTTTCTCATCAAGGACCATATTTTTTCAGTGCTAATCTATTGTGTGGAGATTTTTTATGTCGTGTCAGGAGTGACTTGAGAAACTGCAAGTCGCTTCTGATGTGAGAGAATTGGCCGTCTGCAAGTATGTTGCCTAGGAGAAGCCCAGATGATTTGATGTTTTATCATCCTTCTAGGAGGCTTCTCTCATGTCTCATGAGGAGCTGGAGCTGATAGAGGGAGCTCATCCGCCTCTTCCCTGATTCAAACCTGCGACCTGTCGGTCTTCAGTCCTGCCGGCTCAGGGGTTTAACCGTAATATTGGTGGGGTTGTGTGGAGATGAAGCTGGTATTAATTGCAGAGGCCATCTAGATTTTCATCATCTCTTTTCTCCTCCCCATTTCTGCCATCCCCCACACCGCAAAGTCACTTTCCTTCCTTCCTATGAATAATCTTTTCACAGATGGGAGAGGTCACTGTTGCCAAAGAACTGAACTGAAAACATGCAGCAAGGTCTTGGTATGAGGTCAGGACAAGGGCTGCATGAATCATAGAATCATAGAATCAAAGAGTTGGAAGAGACCTCTTGGGCCATCCAGTCCAACCCCCTGCCAAGAAGCAGGAATATTGCATTCAAATCACCCCTGACAGATGGCCATCCAGCCTCTGTTTAAAAGCTTCCAAAGAAGGAGCCTCCACCACACTCCGGGGCAGAGAGTTCCGCTGCTGAACGGCTCTCACAGTCAGGAAGTTCTTCCTCATGTTCAGATGGAATCTCCTCTCTTGTAGTTTGAAGCCATTGTTCCATTGTGTCCTAGTCTCCAGGAAGCAGAAAACAAGCTTGCTCCCTCCTCCCTGTGACTTCCTCTCACTATTTATACATGGCTATCATATCTCCTCTCAGCCTTCTCTTCTTCAGGCTAAACATGCCCAGCTCCTTAAGCCGCTCCTCATAGGGCTTGTTCTCCAGACCCTTGATCATTTTAGTCGCCCTCCTCTGGACACATTCCAGCTTGTCAATATCTCTCTTGAATTGTGGTGCCCAGAATTGGACACAATATTCCAGGTGTGGTCTAACCAGAGCAAAATAGAGGGGTAGCATTACTTCCCTAGATCTAGACACTATGCTCCTATTGATGCAGGCCAAAATCCCATTGGCTTTTTTGCCGCCACATCACATTGTTGGCTCATGTTTAACTTGTTGTCCACGAGGACTCCAAGATCTTTTTCACACGTACTGCTCTCGAGCCAGGCGTCCCCCATTTTGTATCTTTGCATTTCGTTTTTCCTGCCAAAGTGGAGTATCTTGCATTTGTCACTGTTGAATTTCATTTTGTTAGTTTTGGCCCATCTCTCTAATCTGTCAAGATCGTTTTGAATCCTGCTCCTGTCCTCTGGAGTATTGGCTATCCCTCCCAATTTGGTGTCGTCTGCAAACTTGATGATCATGCCTTCTAGCCCTTCATCTAAGTCATTAATAAAGATGTTGAACAGGACCGGGCCTAGGATGGGATCCTGCGGCACTCCGCTAGTCACTTCTTTCCAGGATGAAGAGGAAGCATTGGGGAGAATCACCCTCTGGGTTTGTCCATTTAACCAATTACAGATCCACCTCACCGTAGTTTTGCCTAGCCCACATTGGACTAGTTTCCTTGCCAGAAGGTCATGGGGGAGCTTGTCGAAGGCCTTACTGAAATCCAGGTACGCCACATCCACAAAAAAAAAAAAAAAGCCACATGAAAATACAGCTCTAGAACAGCCAGTTAGTTGACCACAAAGCATAAATTTTGCCACTGAGCCATAGGTCTTACCTTAAAAGTGTGCCAATTGTTTTGGTTCTGTGCTTAGAAGATAAGGCATCCCCTCACTCACTGTGCTTTGAAAAAATGTAACATAATCTCAGGGTGACTCACAATTATTCTTAGCTCTTGTTCGTTTGTTGCTGTGTTCAGGATCAGCTTGGCAGTCCCATCGTTTTGGGTGGTTGCCTCAACCTGAATGGGCTTTGATTGCACCAAATGAGACACCAAATGAGCTATGACAGGGACGCGGGTAGCTGGGGAACCATCAGGGTTGGTGACAAAAACCTGTGAAGCAATTCCAAAAAATGTGACTGAATGTGAAATGTAGAAGTTATTCCAGAAGCTAAATCCCCATGTTATCCAAAATTTTGAAAGAGTTCTAAAGGCAGATTCTGTGTCTTAATCTGAAGACAGTATTAGCATGTCTGAAACTGGACTATGAGATGAAAGGAGAATTTAATTAAGATTACCATCAGTTCATAGGGCATCCCCGGCTTGAAGTACTTTGGGGTTTTTGTGAAGAAGACCTGATAGGGAGATGTCACTATGTTAATGCCGCCTTTCTCAGCCACCACCATATCGCTTCCTGGAAAAAGAGGAGTGGGAAAGGACAACAAGGAGAAAAAAAATGAAACTAAGTTGTTGGAAAGGGAGAAAAATGTTAAGAGGATACATGCAGTACATACAACTGTAATTCATGCCATTTATAAATCTCCCATCTCCATTTCTACATATGTTTGCTTCCCAAAGAAAGCCTGGATTGAACCAAACATAGAAATGCATGTATCACAAAGAAATGTTAGCCAGAGGCTGCCCAAGGTAATTTTCAATGGTAAGCAAACAGTATTTTGGCGCCCCCCCCCCCCCAACCAATCACTGATATATATTTTCTGTTCGTCATGGGAGTTCTGTGTGCCATATTTGGTTCAATTCCATCATTGGTGGAGTACAGAATGCTCTTTGATTTTAGATGAACTATACATCCCAGTAACTACAATTCGCATATGTCAAGGTCTATTTTCCCCCAAGAGCGCCCCTGGGCAAAATCAACTATACTGCGAATGCTTACTTTGCGTAATGGTTGAGCCGCCCCTGATGTTAGCCCACAATAATAAGGGGCTTATGCAGAAAAGGTAATAAAACAAATTATTTGATAATACAAAAAAGGGAATCTCAAATAATTAACAGATAGGCAGCTCACACCATATGTATCTAGACCTGCGGTCCCCAAACTAAGGCCCAAGGATTGGATGTGGCCCTCCAAGGTCAATTCATTTACCAGCCTCCACCCTAAACTTTAGACTTTGGGTTGAAATGGCTTGAAGACACACAACAACAACAACAACAATCCTAATTTACTTGACTGTCTCATCAGCCAAAAGCAGGTCCACAATTCCCATTGAAATACTGGCAAGTTTATGTTGGTTAAAATTGTTCTTCCTTTTCAATATTATGTTGTTTCCAACTGTTTCCAACTTCCTTTCGAACTGTTGATTGCTTATTGTCTATTTTGTTTATGTGATTTATGGGTTGTTGTAGGTTTTTTTTTTTGGGCTATATGGCCATGGTCTAGAGGCATTCTCTCCTGACGTTTCGCCTGCATCTATGGCAAGCATCCTCAGAGGTAGTGAGGTCTGTTGGAACTAGGAAAAAGGGTTTATATATCTGTGGAATGACCAGGGTGGGGCAAAGGACTCTTGCCTGCTGGAGCTAGGTGTGAATGTTTCCACTGAGCACCATGATTAGCATATAATGGCCTGACAGTACCTGGAGCAAACTTTTGTTGAGAGGTGATTAGATGTCCTTGTTTGTTTCCTCTCTGTTGTTGTGCTGTTGCAATTTTAGAATTTTTTTAATACTGGTAGCCAGATTTTGTTCATTTTCATGGTTTCCTCCTTTCTGTTGAAGTTGTCCATATGCTTATGGATTTCAATGGCTTCTCTGTATGTGATTTATGATTTATATTGTATTGATTGTGTATTGATGTTTTATTTTATTGATGTTTTGTTTATTGATGTATTGCAGGCTTGGCCTCATGTAAGCCGCACCAAGTCCCTTGGGGCGATGGTAGCGGGGTACAAATAAAGTGTCATTATTATTATTATTATTATTATTATTATTATTATTATTATTATTTCATGTTTTTTGCACTACAAATAAGATCTGTGCAGTATCCATAGAAGTTTAAAGACCTTATAAAATTAAAATCATTCCATTGCATTGAGCCATGGCAGTGAAACTGGTGTCAAACTTCATTAATTCTACAGTGTAGATGTATTCTTAGGTAAAGGTATGGGTTGTCCCCTGACATTAAGTCCAGTCATGTCCAACTCCGGAGGTTGGTGCTAATCTCCGTTTCAAAGCCAAAGAGCCGGCGTTGTCCGTAAACACCTCCAAGGTCATGTGGCTGGCATAACTGTATGGAGCGCCGTTACCTTCCTGCCGGAGTGGTACCTATTGATCTACTCACAGTTGCATGTTTTCAAACTGCTAGGTTGGCAGAAGCTGGGGCTAATAGCGGAAGCTCATGCCGCTCCCCGGATTTGAACCTGCAACCCACTGCGCTATTATTGTGAGCAAAAAACGACAGAGGCACCACAGAATTCTTGTACATTATATAGGATTCTGAGTTAGTGAATGGTCAAGTTAGACATTGAGGGTGTGGGGAATTCTCCCTGGGATTAGTCCTCCTTTGGTGGCATTTCTGCAGAGATATATGTCACCATAATTATAATGAATGAATTAAGTGTATATTTACTTCTACTGTCTAACACAAAACTAAGCATACTGAATAGAAAAGGTGTCAGACCCAACTGTAATGCCATATAATTCAGTATCTGAAGCAAAATCATCTGCTTTGAATTGGATTATATGGCAGTGTAGACTCATATAATCCAGTTCAAACCAGATAAAAATAATCCTGGCTTTCGGGGATCTCTGTGGCTACTCTCCCAGTCTCCAACCAGGTCCTAGGGTGTCTGTGTAGGTGTTCTGCAACAAATTGGTTCACTTTAACCCCCTTCCTGACTCAGTTTAGATGGCTGTGTAGAACCGAACCACAAATATTCTTGTTTCTGGCCCAAAGAGCCCTTGCTTCTTCCACAGAAGTTAAAAGGCAAAGGTGAACAGAAGGTAGATAAAGATCTGGATATTAGTCAAAAGGGGGGTCTTACTATTAAGGTACTCTGGGTAGAAAGATTCATCTTTAGAATGTATTTTTTTCCTCAGAGGAGCCACAACTCACCTGATTCTGTCATCACTGTTACAGAGACGTAGAGAGAGTGCTCAACAAGCTCATTAAGGTTCCGAAATCGGGTCTGAAGCATTTCTTTTGTTAGCACTGCCTTCCCTTCCCCATCTTCAATCTAGAAAGGATACAAAGAATATAAAAAAGAAATCAAAGCTGTATACCTTTCTAAACTTCTCTCACCCTCTCACTCTCTCTCTCACTCCCAAATACAAGGATCGTCTTACTGGAATTCTCCTGAGTGAGTCTGGAATATTCTTTTTCTCATCATCAATTTTCACTCCAAAGAGGACAAAGGCAACACCTTCCACTCTCTTTCCATAAAGGTATCTGGAACAACACAATGAAACAAGACATGTTGCTCCGCGCAGTGGAAGCGTGCTGGGCCCATAACCCTAATGTCAGAGTGCTGCAGAAGGTTTTGAAGCTCTGAAGAAATGGATGCTTGAGACTTCAGTATAAAACAGATATTTAGCTTTACTAAGCAGCTCAAATATACAGCATACAGCATCAGTAGACAGACAGGAACAAGAAGGAATGACGAACACACTCACTGAAGCTATAAGGACTTATCTCTGTATCCTCCCTACTCGCTCAAGGTAACGCTCAGGGTCACATCTTCACAGCTTATTAACTCTACTGTTTAACCCTTTCTGTAGCAGAATACGCTCTGGCAATACGCTTGCCGAGGTGTTCCAGCGAGTGTCTCTGTAGATCTTAGAAAACTATTTCTTGATTTAAGTTGTTGGTGTGCTGGCTGATACCCAAACAGAGGATGGGCTGGAGATGTCTCTGCCTTGGTCCTTTCACTATTGGCTGCTACTTCCTGGCGGAAGTGAAGACATTTTCCCTTATGCTTTGCTACTGTGCTGCTGAATATGCATGTCCAGTGTGGAACACATCTCACCACTTTAAAACGATGGATATGGCTCTTAATAAAGACATGTCGCATTATCACAGGATGTCTACGCCCCACACCACTGGAGAAATTATACTGTTCAGCCAGTATTGCACCACCTGACATTCGCTGGGAAGTTGCAGCCAATAATGAAGGGACCTTCCGGCAGAGCACACAAACCCTCCCCCCCAGAAAAGCCTTAAAAAGAAAAAAATAACTTACCCAGCCTGCATTTCTCTGCTGCCAGTACTCTCCTGGCTCATAGAAATGATGCACCAGAAGAAGGGGGGAGAGTGATTTTCCTTCCCCTTTCTCCTGGTGTATTATTTGTCCACGCCAGGAGAAGGCCATCAGCAGGGAAATGCCGGCCAGGTAAGTTATTTTTTCTTTTAAAGGCTTTTCTAATGGATTTTGGGAGAGGGTGGGGGCTGTATTGGGTTTTTCAGGCTCTGGGAGCCCAAAAATCCCAAGACAGATGTGTGGATTGGGACTGGAAGTCATGCAATGAAATCCCCAGGACCAATCCACACAGCACCTACGGCTGGAAAGACCCAAGTCTTCTGAAAGACTTGGGTCTTTCCAGTTCTCAAATTATTTAGGCACAAAGCAGAGTTACTCTGCTTTGTGCAAAATGAATTCATTTTTACCTGAGGTGTTGTTTGGATGCCCCAGATAAAAACAGGGCACACATTTTCCATCCTGTGTGGATGCGCCCACAGTCAACCATTGAAGTCACTATACCACATTCAAAATAACTGTGTTTACCAGGAGAGTTGTACACTGAAGATATGTTTTTCCCACTGAACAACCTACTTTTCTGTTGATAAAATTGTGTGAGGGAAGGAAGGCTATTGTAGAACAAGAATTTATTCTGGATGCAAATTATATTTTTCTCAATGTTATGAGGTAGGGCTGGGCGGTTTCATTTCGTAATTTTGTAATTCGTTAAAAATTCGTTATTTTTTTATAACGAAGCGATATTGAACCATTCAGGAGCATCTAAAAAACGAAACGAATTTTTCAATTCGTTTTGTAATTGCTTCGTATTCGTTTCGTATTCGTTTCGAAATCGTTTCGAAATCGTTTCGTTATTATTTCCGCATGTCTGGGGCAAGTTTTAGAGCTGTTGTTTGTTTAATCAGTGAAAAAAAATTATAAATATTACACCAACAGTCAACAACAGAGGGAGAGGGAAGCTTCAAAAGTTCCCCCTGTCCCATATGGAGGTTTTTTAGTGTATTGCGCGGTCGCGTCCGCTATTAACGAATCGATTCGTATTCATTTCGTATTCGTCTCGTATTGTTTCGTAATTTTACGAAATTTAGTAAATATTGAACTTTTTTAAAGAAAAATTTCGGAATTCTTTTAAATATCAAAACGCAAAAAACCCCAAAAAACGAATCGAGTTTAGAAACAAATTTTTCCGTGGTTGCCCAGCCCTATTATGAGGCCATTGCATTCTTCCGAAGTTGAACAGATATCAGTGTAGTTTTCCCATACGTTACCAAAAATGCACATACACCCACCTTGCAGATATTTCCACTGTGAAATTTCTGTTGGCATCAACATAATAAAACTTCTCTGCTGGTTCAATGTCAACTTCAAAGCTTGGCAATACTGGACCAAAAAAAACAAAAACAGCGAGAATAAGAGGAAGCAAACTTTAATGAAAGGAAAGAGAGTTATTACCATGGCCCCTTCTACACTGCCATATAATCCAGATTATCAAAATGGATAATCCACACAATCTGCTTTGAACTGGATTATATGAGTCTACACTGCCATATCATTCAATTCAAACCAGATAATCTGGATTTTATAAGGCCTGAATGAGATCACACAAAGCTGTTATTCCACTGCAGTTGTACGACAAATGATCACAGCTAAGTACTGGCATAAGCACCCTTGATATCATGTTTATCTATATTCATATAGAGATGTGGTCCCACGCTCCTCTTTCTGCACAGGCTCATCACCCCACCTAGCTGCACTTCTGCTGCTCTATCATAGATCAGCTTCGCTGCCAGATGGATCAAGGCGGATCAGCGCTGCTTGTGTTATTGGACCTAACTGCAGCATTTGATACGGTCGATCACAATCTATTGACCCACCACCTAGCCATGACTGGGGTTAGGGGGATACCCCTTAAATGGGTGTCCTCCTTCCTCCAGAATCGGGGACAGCGCGTGGTGAGGGGAGGGATGGTTTCCGAGAGATCTCCGCTAACTTGCGGGGTCCTGCAGGGAGCTATTCTCTCTCCTCTATTATTTAACATCTATATGCGACCGCTTGCCCGACTGGTGTGGAGCTTTGGGCTTGAGTGCCACCAGTATGCTGATGACACTCAGCTCATTCTGAGGATGAAGGGCCGGCCGGACGCTGTACCCGAAAATTTCCATCAGTGCCTTGAGGCCGTTACTGGATGGTTGCGTGCCAGCAGGTTGAGGGTGAACCCAGCAAAGATGGAGATCCTTTGTCTGGGACATCCGGGTGGGAGGGAGATCCAGCTGCCTACCCTGGATGGCGAGACACTACGTCCCTCACCTTCTGTAAAAAGTCTTGGTGTCTTATTGGATCCTCTGCTCACAATGGAGGCCCAGGTCTCTGCTGTGAGCAGAACTGCGTTTTTCCATCTACGTCAGGCTAGGCGACTGGCTCCCTACCTATCTAGGAACGACCTGGCTACGGTGATCCAGGCGACGGTCATCTCGAGGCTTGACTACTGTAATGCCCTCTACATCGGCCTTCCTTTGTCACTGAAGCTGATGCAAAAAGCGGCGGCTCGTCTTCTCGCCGGGGTGCCGGCGAGGTGTCATACCACCCAATTCTCCAACAGCTGTACTGACTACTGATTGAGTACCGGGTTACTTTCAAGGTGCTAGTATTAACCTTTAAGGCCTTATATGGTCTGGGGCTGGCGTACCTGAGGGCCCACTTATCCCCCTACCAACCCAGAGATTACTTCAGTCTGGAGACCAAAATTTTCTTGAAGTCCCCAACATCCGGACTTATCATCTGTCCTCTATTAGGAAGAGAGCCTTCTCAATTGTGGCCCCTTATTTATGGAATGCCTTGCCAGTTGAAACCCGAACTATCCGAGACCTACTTGGTTTTTGGAAAGCCTGTAAAACCTTTCTCTTCCGACAAGCTTTTGATGGGTGAATAACTCGGGACTATGTCTGTCATGCTTGAATGCTAGTTTGCCTTCTGGATTCCATGAGACTTTATTATATAAGTCATCTTGAGAAGATTGTTGTCCTTAAATATTTCAAATAAATCAGACTAAATAGGAATAGCATTAATAAAATACAAAATAAGTCAGAAGAATGAAGAGAAGATGAAGCCATGGATCAGACAAGTAGACTCTGAACCGGGAAGGCTGCTCTTCTTACCATATTCTTTGACATCGAATGGTGTTTTGAAGGTCTCCTGGGGTGAGTCTTGATATTTTGTCACAACATTCCAGGTTCCCAAACTAGAGAAGGGAAATGGAAGAATTTCTCACTGTTTCTGCTTTATTAATCCATGACAAGCATAAAATGCCAACCATACATCCCTTTTCTGGCACTTAAAGAGTCACAATGAACATGCATGTATTTTATGATATTTGCCTTTTATCTGTGGTTGGGAAAACTCAATATTCAAATAGGATGCCTTACTTAAAGGTTTTATGACCTAGGTATGAAGAAGCTGAAATCTGGACACTTTCCAAAACCCCCGAGTTCAAATTCTCACTTGCCCATGGTACTCATGGGTAATTTGGTAGAAATTCCTTCATTCTCACTATTTATCTACCCTACTTCACAGGTTTTTAAAAAATAAATAAGTAAAATGAAGTAATGCTTCTTATGCACTACCCCAATTTTTTTAGGAAAAAAAGATGAAATAAAATGCAATTGACAATTTGAATACAATTTTCCTGCTTCTTCCTGGTCTCTTCCAACTCTATGATTTCAACAATAAAATCTGTGTCACATTGGTTAATGTAGACATAACTCAGTTTGAAATCAGAATCCCCCCACCCAAGGAATAAAGGAAAAGAAAGTACATTCCAAAGAAAAAGAAAATCAAGAAGACAAGATGGTTGTCTGCTGAGACACTGGAAGTAGCCCAAGAAAGAAGGAAAGCAAAAGGAAACTGATAGGAGGAGATAAGCCCAATTAAATGCACAATACCAGAGGTTAGCCAGAAGAGATAAGGAACTATTTTTAAACAAGCAATGCATGGAAGTGGAAGAAAACAGTAGAATAGGAAGGACAAGAGACCTCTTCCAGAAAATTAGAAATACTGGAGGTAAATTTCAGGCAAAAATGGGTATGATCAAAAACAAAGATGGCAAGAACCTAACGAAAGCTGAAAAGATCAAGAGAAGGTGGCGATACTGTACAGAAGATCTGTGTAGGAAGGATAATAATATCAAGGATAGCTTTGACGGTGAGTGAATTAGAACCAGACATCCTGAGAGGTGAGGTTGAATGGGCCTTAAGAAGCATTGCTAACAACAAGGCAGCAGGAGATGACGGGAACCCAGCTGAACTGTTTAAAATCTTGAAAGAGGATGCTGTCAAGGTGATACATGCCATATGCCATCAGATACATGCCAAGAATTGCCATCCGGCTGGAAAAAATCAACTTAAATCCCCATACCAAAAAAGGGAAACACTAAAGAATACTCAAACTTTCATACAATGGCACTTATTTCCCATGTCAATAAGGTAATGCTCAAGATCCTGCAAGGTCGACTCCAGCAATACATGGAGAGAGAGTTGTCAGATGTACAAGCTGGGTTTAGAAAAGTCAGAGGAATGAGAGACCAAATTGCCAACATCTGCTGGAAAATGGAGAAAGGCAGGGAGTTAAAAAAACAACATCTATTTCAACAACATCAGAATGGGTGACGCCTGGCTCGAGAGCAGTACGTGTGAAAAAGATCTTGGAGTCCTCGTGGACAACAAGTTAAACATGAGCCAACAATGTGATGTGGTGGCAAAAAAAGCCAATGGGATTTTGGCCTGCATCAATAGGAGCATAGTGTCTAGATCTAGGGAAGTAATGCTACCCCTCTATTCCGCTTTGGTTAGACCACATCTGGAATATTGTGTCCAATTCTGGGCACCACAATTCAAGAGAGATATTGACAAGCTGGAATGTGTCCAGAGGAGGGCGACTAAAATGATCAAGGGTCTGGAGAACAAGCCCTATGAGGAGCGGCTTAAGGAGCTGGGCATGTTTAGCCTGAACAAGAGAAGGCTGAGAGGAGATATGATAGCCATGTATAAATATGTGAGAGGAAGCCACAGGGAGGAGGGAGCAAGCTTGTTTTCTGCTTCCCTGGAGACTAGGACGCGAACAATGGCTTCAAACTACAAGAGAGGAGATTCCATCTGAACATTAGGAAGAACTTCCTGACTGTGAGAGCCGTTCAGCAGTGGAACTCTCTGCCCCGGAGTGTGGTGGAGGCTCCTTCTCTGGAAGCTTTTAAGCAGAGGCTGGATGGCCATCTGTCAGGGGTGATTTGAATGCAATATTCCTGCTTCTTGGCAGGGGGTTGGACTGGATGGCCCATGAGGTCTCTTCCAACTCTTTGATTCTATGATTCTATGATTCTATGATTCTGTTTTATTGACTATTCTAAAGCCTTTGACTGTGTGGATCATAATAACTTGTGGCAAGTTCTTGATTGTATGGGGACTGCGAGAAGATCAAACCAGTCCATACTCCAGAAAATAAAGACTGACTACTCACTGGAGGGAAGGATATTAGAGGCAAAGATGAAACACTTTGGCCAAATAATGAGAAGACAGGAAAGCTTGGAGAAGATAATGATGCTGGGGAAAATAGAAGGAAAAAGGAAGAGGGGCTAACCAAGGGTAAGATAGATGCATGGTATCCTTGAAGCGATTGGCTCGACTTTGAAGGAAACCTGGGGGTGGCCACGGCAGACAGGGAGCTATGGCATGGGCTGTCCATGAGGTTATGACGAGTTGGAAGTGACTGAACAAATAATCTCTTTCTCTCTCTCTCTCTCTCTCTCTTTCTCTCTCTCTCTCTCTCTCTATATATATATATATATATATGCACGCACACGCACACATATGCTTTCTCCACTTGCTGTTTCAGATTAGTTTCTGTACATGCTTATTGTAGGACAATTCTCATAATTACCTGACAGTCTCAGGTAGATTAAATGACTGGGTCAGGGGAGTTGCAGGATTAAAAGTATTCTCGCTGACAATAGTACCTTCTGGTGTCTAAAAAGAGAAAAAAATGTTTATGAGGGTATTCAAAGAACAGAATATTCCTGGATGTATTAGACATACAGATTGGGTTTCCCTTTTCCAGAAATCTAAAATCTGAAATAATAATAATAAAAAACCAGGAAAGGGGGCTAGCTAGTAGCTACATATCCTGTGCCCATTATTTTTTTCCCTTAAAGAGTGCTTGCTCCATTCTGAAATTCAGGAGCTTCACTCTCCTTCTGCTTGGACAATAGTGGTGCATGGCAGAGCAGGACCTCTGGAAATTGGGCATGTGGATTGGCCAGTTTTTCAGCATTCCTCAGGCCCACAGTGGTTGGATGCATTTAGATTTTGTCTCCTCTGATGTCTCCATTTTACAGGGTTTTTGTCTGAATCAAGATGTAGTGTCTAGCTTCCCCCACCCCCTCCACATCAAATTTCTGAAAGTGATGGAGTGAGAACTCCATGACAAAACTCTGTGAGTGCTGGATATGTAGCTAGCCCCCTTTCCCCCTTTCATTACAAATGCAAATGCAAGCAATCCAAAAGCCAAAAACTTTCAAGATGTAAAAAAAGTCCTGGTCCTAAGCATTTCAGAAAATTGTATTTGAGATTTTAAAGCCTCCTGTTGGATGTAGATTGTGCACAATCACATTATGGAAATAAAAACTGATATAGTAGATCAGAACACTGAATTCAAACCAGCAATGGCTGAATTCAAATCCTAGTTTGGCCATAAAGCTCACCCAGACTGAATTATATTTAGGGTAAAAGTTAGGCTACTCTGGGCTTTTGGGGGGGGGGGGGAGGGGAGCATGATATGATGATCTGGCCAGGGTGGTCCATGCCTTGGTCACCTCCAGATTGGACTACTGTAATGCGCTCTACGTGGGGCTGCCCTTGAAAACGGCCCGGAAATTCCAACTGGTCCAACGGGCAGTGGCCAGGTTGTTAACTGGTGCTCCTTACAGAGAGAGGTCAACCCTCCTGTTTAAGGAGCTCCATTGGCTGCCGTTCATTTTCCGGTCCCAATTCAAGGTGCAGGTGCTCACCTACAAAGCCCTAAACGGTTTGGGACCTGCCTACCTGGGTGACTGCATCTCCGTATACGAACCCACATGATCTCTCCGATCATCTGGAGAGGCCCTGCTCACGATCCCACCTGCGTCGCAAGCACGTTTGGTGGGGACGAGGGACAGGGCCTTCTCTGTGGTGGCCCCCCGACTCTGGAACTCTCTCCCCAAGGACATCAGACAAGCCCCAACGTTGGCAGTCTTTAGGAAGAGCTTGAAGACGTGGCTGTTCCAGTGTGCCTTCCCAGAATAGGAAACTCCTAGCATCATGTCCCAAATGCACTTTATTAGAGATTTAAGATTGTCTGCACACCGCACCTATCTCCGAAAACCTATCCATTTCACCTGTCATGTCCAGCATTTTAAAAATTTTATTCATTACATTTGGCCTGGCCTGAGTTTTAAATGCGTCGTTTTAAATTGTCTAATGTTTATTGCTATTGTTTTAATGTTTATTGTTTTGCTTTATGAGTTTATTTATTGTTGCATTGTTATGCTGTTGTTTTATTGATGTGTTGGGTCTTGGCCTCTTGTAAGCCGCACCGAGTCCTTCAGGAGATGTTAGCGGGGTTTAATAAAGTTCATAATAATAATAATAATAATAATAATAATAATAATATACATTTAAGAAATAGATTTTCTTTGTTCTGGTTTTAGTGTAACACTTTCAATTTCCAGTTGCTAATGGCCAACATTTCCACATTTCCTTGAAGCTTTGAAACATACTATAATATGGAAGGTATGTGAAAAATATGAAGAAAGAAAAGGAGGGGTAGATCAAAGTGCAGACTGTGTAGAATATGCTGTGATTTGAATAATTCCCAAGGCTGTAAGCCATATTGATGATGCCAGGAAACCAGTGGGGAGAGAGAAAAAGACCCCCCTCCCCACTTTATACAGTCTTTATGGTGTGTTATACAGTACTTTATGGTGTGTGTTCTGTCGCGCGCTGGGCTTGAAACGAATTACTTTTAAAACAGGACATGCAACTGTAGTCTAGCGGGAAGCCAGGAGACCCGAAGAGAAATTCATAAGGATTTTCACCATAAACAGTCTTTGGAGGGCTTGTAAAATATAAGAAAGTCTTTTATTGGTGAACAATCAACAGAAACTTCTTTTGTCTTCAAAAGGTTAAACAAATGCTTCCAGGCTTTTGTGCAACTGGTGGTTTCTAACTGTTACTTTTACTCTAAAAGGAAAATCCCTTTCCAAACTTCTCCCAGGCTAACTGTGATCCTAAACCTAACTGATGTGGATCCACTACCGGGCTGAACTGCATCTCAAAACCGAGTGGACCTACCAGTAGGCCTGTAGTCACTTAGCTGGAGTTCTTGATGTTTAAAGCTGTTATTCCCTCTGAAATTCCTCAGGGCTGTAAGGCTGTTTCCCTGGGAACCTTTGGGAATACTTCTACTCTTAAGACTGTTCTTCCTCGGGAGGTCTTAAGGATTGAAGCCTTTGTACAGGAGAAAGTCTGTACACGTCCTGTACATTGACTTCCTTTGCTCAGACTAACTGAAAATGGCTCCCTTCCCTTCTCAATTGTCCTGAACAGGGGGCGGAACCAAACTTAACAATGATGGATAGGAATCCTGCCCTATAACTGCAAACTTTAACAGGAAGCCACCCTTCTGCAGAATCCCAAGCCTTGGGCTGCAAGCAAATAAAGTTGGAGCTTCTGGTACAGCTGTACCAGCACAATGTGAACTATACTTGTATCATTGTAATATTTAATGTGAATGTCTAAGGAAGAATCACTGACTACCCATGTCCACATTACACACTTGTCCATAAGATTCTCACCTCAAAGTGAACAATCACATTTTTGTCCAAACGTTCCATGCCATGACCCATAGAGAAGACACGGTACCGCACTGAAAAAAGAAGAGTGAAGAGGCATTATTTATTTGTGACTAAGACGTATGCTGGCATCCTAGAAAATAACTTAACATCCCCATTCCTTTGTAAATGAGACTTTTTGGATGACCTCATAATCCCTACAAATTCATGTGACAATGCAAAAGTGTGGTATGTGCAGCCCTGTGGCCTTTTGTTTGCACACCCTGCGTCCCACATTCTTCAGAATTCCCCACAACCAAATAATGGGGAGAGATATCCAGAAATAATAGTTTTGAGCTTTAAATTGGTGACAAACACTGCCTAAACATTAAACTAGCAATTGATTTCCACTTACTCTGGTATTTATTTTATTGATTTTTTTTCTTGATCAGGGAACTTGTGTGCCTTGTAGAGAGCCCCAAGGCACCAAAATGTACCCTTAGGCACTCCAAAGTCATTGATATCACTTTAGACAGTGATATCAATGGAAAGTAAGGCCCCGTCTACACTGCCATATAATGAGAGTTGCAGCATTTAAATTGGCTTGAAAATGTTGAAATTCCTTAGTGTTTGGTAGTTATTACAAAAAAGAAAGCAGGTTAATAATTTGACTAAAAAGCAATTCTTATGCTGTTTGAAACTATAGGTGAATTGAAGTAGAAAGCATCTAGGGCAGTGGTTCCCAACCTTTGGTCCTCCAGGTGTTTTGGCCTTCAACTCCCAGAAATCCCAACCATCTTACCAGATGTTGGGAATTGTGGGAGCTGAAGTCCAAAACACTTGGAGCACCAAAGGTTGGGAACTACTGATCTAGGGGATCAGAGGTTGAGAACCACACGGATAGAATAGTGTTTCTCAAATTCCGATCTTCCAGATGTTTTGGACTTCAGTCCTAGAATTTCCAGTTGGCATGGTCAGTACAAAGGAATTATGAGAGTTGAAGTCTCATACATCTGGAAAACCAGTGTGAGAACATAGATTTTTAGTAGATTTCATTTTTTATAGAAGTTCTACTTCTTGAAATTATTTTTTCACAAAATGCTTAAAGACATGGGTCTCTTTTCTATGTAGACTAGTAGACACCCCATGTAGCACAGATTTTCCTGAGAAAAGAGGCAACCTTTAAAAAAATCAACTGCCTCTAAAGGAGGCGGGGGAAAATGACCTTGGTTTCTAGATCCATTTCCAAAGAAGATTAACATGAGAATAAAGATCTAGCATTAAAATCAATGACAGCTCTTTCTGAAGTTATCCTTTTCATACTCCAAATGGTATCCCATTGGTTTTCAAGTGGAACCAGCAGAAGGCTTTACCTGAAGATCCAGGTGTGTAGATGGTTTTGTCTGTCTGGGTGAAGATATAACCACTTTGGAAGGAAACCAGAACCACCTTTTCAAGTACGAAATGAAGACAAGTAGCCTGGACAGTGACATACTGGTTTTTCTTGGAGTTCTTATTTAGGTCTTTTGCAGGAACCTGTTTGGGAAAAATCAAGAACTAGAAAACCAATCCCCCTCAGGGCCCTTCCACACAGCCATAAAACCCAGAATATCAAGGCAGAAAATTCCACAATATCTGCCTTGAACTGGGTTATCTGAGTCCACACTGCCATATATTCCAGTGCAAAGCAGAAAATGTGGGGTTTTATTCAGCTGTGTGGAAGGGGCCCTAGTCCTTTCTAGCAGAGTGAACATTGCCATATGTGTTGTGTACTGGTAACTTTATGGTGACAACTACAGTTCACAACAAGTAGCCCTATTCTACAGTTAGGCAGTGGATGATATTCTTCTTTAAAAAATAACATACGGCTCAGTTGGACTATTTGGATCTTGCTTTGATTCCTTCTGCATCAGTCCAAATCCAGTCTGATCCATCTGCCATGGGTTCCATTCGTGGAAGAATAATGAGAAGTGTAGTAATTGTGTTCCTCATTCCTTGTTTTATAATATAATTATAACATTTATTATAAAATATCTAGATGTATATATACTGACTTCCATTAAAACCCACATTAGACTATTTCATAGTTTCTTTGTATTCAGTTCAAATTATTCAGTATATAGCATTAAACCTAAAAACTAAGCTAGAGTGGTTTCACGAACTCTGGGACTGCTAAAGAACGCTTCTTCCACCTCCTCTCCTAGGACGGATTTATATTCTCCTTTCTTGATAAGCGTAAACCAGGGGGCCAGGTCACAGTCCCTCAAACTGTTGGAGGGCTGGATTATAATTTGAAAAAAGATGACTCAATTCCTACGCACACTGCGCACTGCACATATCTTATTTGTAGTGCAAAAACACTTTAAAATAATACAATAATTAAATTGACGAACAATTTCAAATTTCAACTTATTAGTATTTCAATAGGAAGTGTAGGCCTGCTTTTGGCTAATGAGATAGGATTGTTGTTGTTGTTGTTGTGTGCTATCAAGTCATTTCAGACTTAGGTTGACCCTGAGTGAGGGCCGGGTAAATGACCTTGGAGGGCCGTATCCGGCCCCCGGGCCTTAGTTTGAGGACCCCTGGCGTAAACGCTAGCACTGCTCAAGAATTTGAAAGCCTGTCTTGGAGATAAATGAATAATATCACATTTCCAGGGAGAAATGTTTAACAGAACATGGGCAATTAAAACAGTGGGTATTGAATATGTGGTTAGGGAGTCATACTGTCATTGTATTTTCCTTTTGTATTACTGATCTTAACTGAACAGATGATCTCCTCTTTCCTTCCCCATCCGCTTATATCTCAACATTTTCCCTAATCGGCCATGGAGCAGTGGGATGTCATCGACATGGTCCAGGAGGACCAAGACCACATCGACACCACTGGAGTGTCACCTCAACTTCCATGTCACCATTATTGTTCCCAGCTAATCACAGATCTCCGTGTGAGCTCCAGGTTCTTGAGAGTACCTCGTTTTGATCTGCAGAAGTGCTTCCATGATGCAGAAGAAGAAGCCAGAGTTTCTTCCTTCTGTGTGCTCATGTTGATATGAGAGCAAAGTGCCTGTGATGGCCAGGAGCTTGTATGGAGTTCTGTGACCGGCTGGGAATGGCAATTTGGCCACAAGCCATCATTTTGGTATGCCGATGAGCATGAGGAAAAGAAGAAGACAGTGGTGTCTCATGTGGTCAGCAGACTGGTCCAAAGTGGAACTGATTCAGCTGTCCACACTGCCCTGAAGCTGTAGGTATCACCCAACAGAGGCTCCATCTAAACTGCCATGTAAAATCCAGATTATCTGATTTGAACTGGATTATATGGCAGTGTAGGATGGATCTACAATGCTGCATAATCCAGATTATCTGCATTGATTTGTATTATATAAATATACACTGCCATACAATTCGGTTCAAAGCAGATAATGTGGAATCAGATACTAGATTATATGGCAGTGTAGATCTGGCCTTAGGATGAAGCAGGGCAGAGTCCTTATAACCCAGGATAGCTTTCCATGCTCACCAGAAGTAGTAAAACATGGTGACAGCCAGGAGCCAACTCAGGCCCCATCTACACTGCAACATAAAATCCAGATTTTTTGCTTTGAATTAGATTATATGGCAGTGCCGACTAATGTATTCCAGTTCAAAACAGATAATGTGGATTATCTGTTTTGATCATCTAGATCAGGGGTCCACAAACTTTTTAAACAGAGGGCCAGGTCACAGTCTCTCAAACTGTTGGAGGGCCGGAGTATAATTTTTTAAAAAAATGAATGAAATCCTATGCACACTGCACATATCTTATTTGTATTGCAAAAACACTTAAAATACAATAATTAAAATGAAGAACAATTTTAACAAATATAAACTTATTAGTATTTCAATGGGAAGTATGGACCTGCTTTTGGCTGATGAGACAGCATTGTTGTTGTTGTTGTTGCTGTTGTTGTTGTTGTTGTTGTTGTTGTGTGCTTTCAAGTCGTTTCAGACTTAGGTTGACCCTGAGCGAAGGCCGGGTAAATGACTTTGGAGGGCCGTATCTGGCCTCCGGGCCATAGTTTGAGGACCCCTGATCTAGATGATATGGCAGTGTAGTAGAGCCCTCAGGGTGAGTCCAGGTCTATCATGCCCGTGTAGACTCTGCCCAGATAAATGTACTGGAGTGCAGTCTGACTTTTTCTATTCACAATTAGCACCCTCTGTAAGTATCACTGCATACCTACCTTTATTATCGGAGTCACTATCATGCCATTGTCTGGGTTCATTGTAGCTTTGATCTCGTACAAGACATTCCTCTTCTGTGGGAAATCATGGACAGAGACGGTCACCTCTGTGGCAGTATTGAGCCCATGAGCCTCCACCACAATCTGCTCTTCAGTCTCTAGCCACATGACACTGGGGACAACCATGGAGTAGCTACAAAGGAAGAAAACATTATGTGCTGAGTTAGTTTGCAGTACCCAAATGACAGAGTACTAAATATTTGGAAAAATCATACAACAAATAAGTTAAATGCTAAAAGTTAAAAAGCTGCATAAAGAAATTCAGACGGAACTCCCTGTCACTTCCATCTTGCCCTTCTTCAAGCTCTTAGTTGTTCTACTGTTTTTCTTCGGTCACACCAGCACTGATCTCTCCCATGTCTCTATTTTCTAAGGCACAGGTGGGGATTGCACAGCTCTTCTAATAGTGAACTGCAACTCTCTAGTACAGGGGTCCTCAAACTAAGACCCGAGGGCCGGATACGGCCCTCCAAGGTCATTTACCCAGCCCTTGCTCAGGGTCAACCTAAGTCTGAAATGACTTGAAAGCGCCCAACAACAACAACAATCCTATCTCATCAGCCAAAAGCAGGTCCACACTTCCCATAGAAATACTAATAAGTTTATATTTGTTAATATTGTTCTTAATTTTAATTATTGCATTGTTTTAAAGTGTTTATTGCATTCCAAATAAGAGATGTGCAGTGTGCATATGAATTAATTCATGTTTCTTTCAAATTATAATCCGGCCCTCCAATAGTTTGAGGGACTGTGACCTGGCCCTCTGTTTAAAGAGTTTGTGGACCCCTGCTCTAGTATATCAAGTGGTTTAGCCAATTGTGAAGAACACTGCCTTTCAGTTCTAGCCCCTTCTACACTGCCTTATAATCCAGGTTATCAAAGCAGACAATCCACATTATCTGATTTGAATTGGATTTCATGAGTCTACACTGCCATATAATCCAGGTCAAAGCAGATAATCTGGATTTTAAATGGCAGTGTTGAAAGGGCCAGTGACTGTAGATTCAACATACCTGGACTCCTTCCTCCTGTCATCAATATTTTTAGCATTTCCTGGTAGACTTATACTCTGGGGTAGGCATGAGAATGCAAAAGCAAGCAAGCAAACAATCCTAAAAACAGCAGACCCTTTCTGATCTTGGTAGTTATGCTGGGACATTTCTGGTTACTCCTTGAATGTGAGACTACTAATGAATTCTAGTTACTATAGCTTGTATTTCAGAGGAAAGAACTGGGAAAATTACCTCTGAATTCTTTACCTACAGACTTATCACACATGGCAAAAAAAGGATCCTAGGACACTTCTGCCATGGAGCCCCACACCGCTCATCAGATGATGTAGGATGACATTTGGTGGAGCTCTGTGGGTGAACTGGGGCAGCAGCATGGTGGGACACTGCTGCCACCATCCTGCACTGCCATATAATCTGCCAATATGGACTCAAGCTATGTGGCAACCAGGCCCGTAGCCAGGATTTCGATTCGGGGGGGCGGGGCTGAGTTTGTTTCGGGGGGAGGGGGCTGAGTCCGAGTGAAAGAGGGTCTACCCTAGCAAACCTTTTGTATCGTTACTCCAATACCCCCATGCATATGGGATATATTGAGTAGGGTGATCAGATCATGATATGAATAAACATAACAGTTTAAATAATGCACCAGTAAGGCCTTCTCGCGAACCACCATGAGAATTTGGGGGGGGGGGGCTGAAGCCCCTCAAGCCCCCCCCCCCAGCTACATGCCTGGTGGCAACTCTTTCCCACGTTAGATGGAGAAGCATCAGCTGCTGGCTGGGGCACCAGAATTGCATCACTGCCACCCAATTTTGTCACAGGCTGGTGAATCATAGAATCACAGTGTTGGAAGAGACCTCGTGGGCCATCCAGCCCAACCCCCCGCCAAGAAGCAGGAAAATTGCTTTCAAAGCACGCCCGACAGATAGCCATCCAGCCTCTGTTTAAAAGCTTCCAAAGAAGGAGCCTCCACTACACTCCAGGGCAGAGAGTTCCACTGTTGAACAGCTCTCACAGTCAGGAAGTTCTTCCTAATGTTCAGATGGAATCTCTTGTCACAACACTCAACCTCATCTAGACCTCATCTATGGATATCTCAGGATTTTCATAGGGTTTTATTAGGGACCTCATCTATGTGATGGAAGTTCCCTAATAAAACCCTATGAAAATCCTGAGATACCCATAAGGGACCCCATCGGATTACTTGAAATTACATCCTGGTATTTAGTGCTTGTGCACCCCAAACAAGCTCTAGAGTCCTAAAGTGAATGATTCCCCACAGTGTTTAACTTAGAGAGAGAGAGAACAAAATAAAATGCTGGTCTGAGCAATGATCTTGTTTAGCAAACAAACTGGAAATGTAGAGAATTGCTGAATTCTATTATGTACTTACAGTTGACCGTGGGAAGAAGTCGGGAAACAGACCAGGAGGGCAGCCACCAAACAGAGGGCAGACCCCTCCATCGTGAACTGGAGGGCCAGGTATCAGAGAAAGAGCTGCAGCTCTGGTTTTTATTATAGCATCCTGTTATTAAGCCAAGCCCTTTGGCAAGAGCTTAATGTTTAATCGGTATGTGGTTGGGGGGGGACGGGGACCGGTTGCGCTATAAGGAAATTTCAGAAGAACCCATTCCATCTGTCAAAACAGATGAATAATGCTTTTGTACTTTTTCAAATCCTCTGCTAATCAATATGTTGTGCCATTTTCCTTTCAGAAGTTTACTAAGAAACGGAGCCACTCCAACATTTATTATTTTATTTAATGTTATTTATGCTAAATGTTTTAATTGTTTTTATGTTATTGTGAGCATCGAATCATGCTGTTTGTAAACCGCCCTGAGTCGCCCTCAGGCGAGAATGGCAGTATATAAATATGGTAAATAAATAAATAAACATTCAAACCTCTATCCGTGGGGATGCTCAATGAATGTACCTGTTAATGTAAGGCTAGGCAAATATGGTCAACGCAGGGGGCAGTTTTCCAACATATCTAGACCATGGCTTCTTAAAGTTTTTCCACACATGCCCTCTTCCTGCTAGAGAAATTTTGACGCAACCCCACATATATAAAACAGGTATAAAAACCAAACATTTACTGATAATAAATCAACATTTTCAAGTCTTACTAAACAGGCTGAATTTCCTCTTTGTGTAGTACAGTGGAAGTGTTTTCTGCAGAATCCACTGTAAACACTGCATATTGTTGTTGACAGATTTGTTAAACTGTGTAGTGTCCAGAAAACGTTTATTTGTTTGTTTGTTTGTTTGTTTATTATTTACAGTATTTCTATACCGCTTTTCTCACCCCTAGGGGGACTCAAAGCGGTTTACACATAACTGACAAAACTTCAATGCCATACATTGGACACTGACGCGATGCCAAACCATAACAACCACAATAATAAAACCACAATTAAACCTAAATCATAATTAGACAGTACATAAGCAATCATTAAAACAATAAATAATAAAAACAGTCTCGCCAGTCGTATTGTCATTCTAGTCCATGTCCTTTAAACTCTACAAACATCTACTGTCCGAAGGCCTGGTCCCAAAGCCATGATTTTAATTTCTTTCTAAAAACCAGGAGGAAGGGAGCAGATCTTACCTCATTTAGGAGTGTGTTCCATAGGCGAGGGCCCACAGCCGAGAAGGTCCTGTCTCTCGTCCCCGCCAGATGCATTTGCGCGATTGACGGGAGCGAGAGCAGGGCCTCCCCGGATGATCTTAGATTACGAGATGGGACGTAGGGGTGGATGTGTTCGGACAAGTAAGCTTGGCCAGAACCGTATACAGCTTTATAATTATTTATGACCCCAACATTGAGCTGATGGAACCCAATTTGGGGTTGGGATCCACAGTTTATGAAGTAGTGATGTAGACAGCATGGACCATATCATACCCTTCCAATTGAATTCAGAAGTAGCCAGAATTCAATCTTCGTGGAATTAACAGAGTGATAGAGGGGTTCCACAACCCTCCTTCCCACATTTTTCACCTGTCAAAAGTCAAAGTGAGATACTGTCAAATTTTAAACAAAAATATTTGTAGGTGTGGTTGGGAGCCCCCGGTGGTGCCATGGGTTAAAGCGCTGAGTTGCTGAGATTGCTGACTGAAAGGTCGCAGGTTCGAATCCTGGGAGCGGAATGAGCTTCCGCTGTCAGCCCCAGCTTCTGCCAACCTAGCAGTTCAAAAACTTGCAAATGTGAGTAGATCAATAGGTACCACTCCGGTGGAAAGGTAATGGCGCTCCATGCAGTCATGCCAGCCACATGACCTTGGAAGTGTCTACGGTCAACACTGGCTCTTCGGCTTAGAAATGGAGATGAGCACCACCCCCCAAAGTCGGACACGACTGAACTTAATGTCAGGGGAAAACTTTTACCTTTACCTATGGTTGGGTCTCTGGAAGCCTTCTCCCTAAAGACAAAAAGTCACATAGTGTCCACTCTGGACTAAAGCATTATTCAAGAGAAAAAAAATTGTAAGAACAGGATTGTATGATTCCAGCAAGAAAAAAGAAATATTAACAGGTATATAAATACAATGAGATCAAGGAGTCAGGGGGATATGAAAAGTCTGCCATGTCCTAACCTGAATGATAGTGCATTTGGTCTAGAGACATCTATTTAATAGATGTATCGTTAAAGATTTTGGACTCTGAAGCCTCCTTTCCTTTTCTCCTTTCCATTTTTCCCTCCTGCCTTTTTTCTTCCGTCCTTCCGTCTTTTCTTTTTTCTATTCTTTTTGAAATGAAGGATGAACAAATATATAATCATATAACCCTTTAAAATGTGTTTGAATGCAGCCGACCTTATCTTACTGGTTTTCTTTACATAGTCATTGTCAGTAGGCACCCCTGGAACCCAGCAACATGTTATCAATGTTTGAGAAACAACAGTAGTAATAAATATGTTTAGCAGCTGTTATTTGCTATCTCACAACAAAACATAGCATTGTGATCTAAACATGGCTTCACCCCTACTACTTTATCATCTTTGCCTACTTGGTGGAGAAGTTTGTGCAGTTTTGTACACTAGCAAGATATATATTGGGATATTTAGTTTAGTTTTTTCTTTCAAATGAGTTTTGATATTTATAGTTGTTTAATAATAATATTAATAATTAGCCGTCCCCTGCCAAGCGTTGCTGTGGCCCAGTCTGTGTATATGTGTTTTGTGTGTGTATATATGTATATATGTGTGTGTATGTATTTGTGTATATGTCTATTTATGTAGTTATGCATAAATACACATGCGGTTATGTTGGAGCCCCCGGTGGCGCAGTGTGTTAAATTTCTGAGGTGCTAAACTTGCTGATTGAGAGGTCGCAGGTTCAAATCCGGGGAGCGGCATGAGCTCCCACTATCAGCCCCTAGCAATTCGAAACCATGCCAATGTGAGTAGACCAATAGGTACCTCTCGGCGGGAAAGTAACAGTGATGTCTCTACTCTTTACTATTTTATCGAGATTGGACATTGCTCTCCTCCCAAGAAGTAAGTGTCTTCTGATTTCCTGGCCACAGTCTGCATCTGCAGTAATCTTTGCATCTAGAAATACAAAGTCTGTCACAGCCTCCACATTTTCTCCCTCTATTTTCCAGTTGTCAATCATTCTTGTTGCCATAATCTTGGTTTTTTTGATGTTTAGCTGCAACCCAGCTTTTGCGCTTTCTTCTTTCACCTTGATTAGAAGGCTCCTCAGCTCCTCCTCACTTTCGGCCATCAGAGTGGTGTCATCTGCATATCTGAGGTTGTTAATGTTACTTCCAGCAATTTTCACCCCAGCTTTGCATTCATCCAGCCCCGCACATCGCATGATGTGTTCTGCATACAAGTTAAAAAGGTTGGGTGAGAGGTATGCAGCCTTGCCGTACGCCTTTCCCAATCTTGAACCAGTCTGTTGTACCGTGGTCAGTTCTGACTGTTGCTACTTGGTCCTTGTACAGATTCCTCAGGAGAGAGACAAGGTGGCTTGGGATGCCCATCCCACCAAGAACTTGCCACAATTTATTATGATCCACACAGTCAAAGGCTTTAGAATAGTCAATGAAGCAGAAATAGATGTTTTTCTGAAACTCCCTGCCTTTCTCCATTATCCAGCGGATATTGGCAATCTGGTCTCTCGTTCCTCTGCCTTTTCTAAACCCAGCTTGAACATCTGGCAACTCTCGCTCAATGTATTGCTGGAGTCTTCCTTGCAGGATCTTGAGCATTGCCTTACTGGCATGAGAAATAAGGGCCACTGTACGGAAGTTTGAGCAGTCTTTCGCATTTCCCTTTTTTGGTATGGGGATATAAGTTGATTTTTTCCAGTCTGATGGCCATTCTTGTGTTTTCCATATTTGCTGGCAAATGGCATGCATCACCTTGACAGCATCATCTTTTAAGATTTTAAACAGTTCAGCTGGGATCCCGTCGTCTCCTGCTGCCTTGTTGTTAGCAATGCTTCTTAAGGCCCATTCAACCTCTCTCCTCAGGATGTCTGGTTCTAATTCATCACCACACCGTCAAAACTATCCTTGATATTATTATCCTTCCTATACAGATCTTCTGTATAGTCTCGCCACCTTCTCTTGATCTCTTCAGCTTCTGTTAGGTCCCTGCCATCTTTGTTTCTTATCATGCCAATTTTTGCCTGAAATTTACCTCCAATGTTTCTAATTTTCTGGAAGAGGTCTCTTATCCTTCCTATTCTGTTGTCTTCTTCCACTTCCATGCATTGCTTATTTTAAAATAGTTCCTTATCTCTTCTGGCTAACCTCTGGAATTGCGCATTTAACTGGGCATATCTCCCCTTTTCACTGTTTCCTTTTGCTTTCCTCCTTTCTTGGGCTACTTCCAGTGTCTCAGCAGACAACCATTTTGCCTTCTTGGTTTTCTTTTTCTTTGGGACGTACTTTGTTGCCGCCTCCTGAACAATGTCTCGGACTTCTGTCCATAGTTCTTCTGGGACTCTGTTTACTAAACCTAGTCCTTCAAATCTGTTCTTCACTTCCACTGTATATTCGCTAGGAATGTTAGTGAGATCATATCTAACTGGTCTGTGTATTTTCCCTGATCTCTTTAGTTTTATTCTAAATTGGGCAATAAGAAGTTCGTGATCTCAGCTACAGTCAGCCCCAGGTCTTGTTTTCACCGACTGGATGGATGTCCGCCACCTTTGGCTGCAAAGGATGTAGTCAATCTGATTTCGGTGCTGACCATCTGGTGAAGTCCATGTATAAAGCCATCTTTTAGGTTGTTGGAAGAGAGTGTTTGTTATACACAGTGAGTTTTCCTAGCAAAATTATATCAGCCTGTGTCCCGCTTCATTTTGTTGTCCCAGACCATGCTTGCCTGTGATCCCAGTTGTCATTTGACTTCCCACCTTGGCATTCCAGTCTCCTGCAATGAAAATAATGTCTCTTTTTGGTGTATTATCCAGTAGGTCCTGCAGATACTCATAGAACTGATCTACTTCTGCTTCTTTAGCAG